TGATTGGACATTTATATAACTTATGAAATATCACCTATATTTTATATTTTTATTTTTTTATCCTCACCAGAGGACATTTTTGCATTTATCTTCAGATAGAGCAGGAGGAAGAGAGAGAGAAACATCGATGTGAGAAAGACACGTCGAGTGGTTGCCACCCACACGACCCCACCCAGAGCCAGGGACAAACTGCCACCGAGGTACATGCCCTTAGTGGGAACCAAACCCAGGGCTCTCTGGTTCACGGGCCAACGCTCTAGCCGCTGAGCCAAACTGGCCAGGGCTCTTTTATTATTTTTTAACTTTTTTTTTTTAATGCTCATCTGAGGATATTTTTCCATTTATTTTCAGACAGAGTGGGAAGGAGAGAGAGAAACATTGATGTGAGAGAGACACATCGATTGATTGGCTCCCACACAACCCTGGCCAGGGACCGAACCACAAATGAGGTACTGAGGTACGTGCCCTTGATTGGAATTGAACCCACAACTCTTTGGTCCATGGATGGATGCTCTAACCACTTAGCAAAACCAGCCAGGGTGGTATCACCCGTCTTTTAAAAAAAAGAAACAAAAATTCTTTCCCCACCCTGGCTGGTTTGGCTCAGTGATTAGAGTGTCGGCCTGTGGTCCAGAGAGACCCGGGTTCGGTTCCCGCTAAGGGCATGTACCTCGGTTGTAGTTTGTCCCCAGCCCTGGTTGGCTGTTCTGGTGGCAACCACTCGATGTCTCTTTCACGTTGATGTTTCTCTCTCTCTCTCTCTCTTCCTCCCGCTCTATCTGAACAAAAAATGTCCTCAGGTGAAGATAAAAAAATAAATAAATAAAATTCTTTCCTGACTCCACATCCTTCACCTACTGCCCAGTTTCTCAGTTCTTTTCCATTAAAATGCTCTTATCGAGGAACCATGTTTACAAAGCTCTTGTCCATCTTGCTGATATTTCAATTTGTCCTGCCTTACTAGAACTTTTTTCTTCTTTGCTGGTTCTTCCTCTGCCAAAACTCTAAATGTGGAGTTCTCTCCTTGGCCTTCTTTTCTCTAACTGCTTTCTCCCTTGGTGACCTTATCTAGTATAATAACTCTAAATTTTTCTAGGGTTAATGACTCCCAAATCGACATCTCCAGGGGACCTCTCCCCTGAGCTGCTGACTCATGTATTTAAGTGCATCTTATACAGCATGATGAGTTCAAAACAATGAAGACCTCTTCCCAATTTCAGTAAATGGCTCAGACCCACTTTAGACCACTCTCATTCCTTCCTTTACTGCTCACCAACCACTTATCCTGTGAGCTCTTCCTCCGAAGTAACTTGAAATCTGACCTATGCATCTCCAGTGCTACAAACCTGGGTCACAGCACCCTTGTCCCTTGAGCACTGCTTCAACCTGTCTGTTGCTCTCCTTGCCTTTACTCTTACCTCGCAGTAGTATTCTCAGTAGTTGAATGCTATTTGGAACTTAGAACGTGTCATTATTTTCTGCTCAGTGACCTCCTATGACTTTTCTTATACCTGCAATAAAATCGAAACTCCTCCAAAAGTAATATGAGAAACTTGGCTTGATCTTGATTTGGAGGAAAATGTCAAAAAAGAAAACAGCTAACATTGGAGAGAGTCGAGGAAATTTGATTATGGGCTACTTATCAGAGGGTTTTTGGAAATTACTACCTTTCCTAGGGATGATAATGCATTTGAGATTATGTAGGAAAATATCTCTTTACTTTTAGGAGATGTGGTTGATATATTTAGTGGTAAAGTATCATGATGTCTGGAACTTATTTTCAAATAGCATGGCAAGAAATATATATCAATATAGTGAGAAAGCAAATATGACACAATATTAACAATTGTTGAATCTAGGTGGGGAGTATAAGAGTACTTTACTAAACTATTTCAACCTTTTTTTTTTTTTTTATCCTCACCCGAGGATATTTTTCCTTTTTTTTTTTTTGTACAGATAGAGTGGGAGGGAGAGAGAGGAAGGGAGAGAGAGAGAGAGAAACATCGACGTGAAGGGACACATCGAGTGGCTGCCACCCGCACGACCAACCAGGGCCGGGGACAACTGCAACTGAAGTATGTGCCCTTAGCGGGAACCAAACCCGGGTCTCTCCGGACTGCAGGCCGGCGCTCTAACCGCTGAGCCAAACTGGCCAGGGCTAAACTATTTCAACTTTTATATAGACTTATCATTTGTTTGTAATAGCAAGCTAGGAGGAAGAAATCCATACTGCCCGCAGTGGCCTTTAGCCCTCTATTGACCCAGGCTCTGGTCACCTCTCTGATCTCCCTTGCCCTCCACTTGCCCAGGTGTTTACCATGTCACTTCTTTCTGTCCTTCACATTCACCAACCCATCTCAGGGCCTCTGGGCTTGGTGTCCCTCTGCCTGGAATGCTCCTCCCCGACATGTTCAGCTGCTGCCTCTTCTCATTCACATCTCAGCTCAAAAGTCATACCTCTTGGAAGCCTTTCCTGACTAACTCAGGTAGCACCCCCAGTTCAGTTACCAGTTTTGTTTTTTGATTAATAGCACCTGATGTCACAGCATTTATTTTAGCTTACTCGGTTAACAGGCAATTTCCCTATTAGTCCACCACTCGAGGCTCCTGGAGAGCAGGGACCGTGTCTCTCTTGTTCACCACTGTCTCTCCAGTGCCTGAAACAGTGTTGAGCACCATAAATGCTTGTTGAGGGGATGCATGAGTACGTGCTGATATTTAACATCTGTACCTCCAGCTCAACTCTCTTGAGCACTATCTCATATCATACAACTTGCTAGAAGCCCTCACTTGGCTGTCAATAGGCACCCCATTTCCTCATTGCTGTGTGTTTGGTGAGATTTTCGTGATATCCCAAGAAGATGTCCTGGAAATCTGTACAACATACAATTTATGATCGACAATACTGTATTGTACACTTAACTAAGATTTATCCTCTTAAAAAAATTTTAAGTACTCTTACCACCAAAAAAAAAAAAACCCACAAAAGGGCAGTAGGAAAAGGAGGTGATGGATAAGTTTGTGGCAATGATGATGGTTTTATGGGTGTATACTTATCTCCAGACACGTATACATTAAATATCTACAGCTTTGGTATGTGACAACCATGCTTCAGTAAAGTGGTTTGGGGGGAAAAGATGTTAGAGTCAGAACCAACAATGCCTAAGTTCTGCCCTGCTAATCATCTCCTGCACAGAGAAGACCCCAAGAGAGGTTCAAGGAACAAACGCAAGTAGAAAGGAAGGCAGGCCCTGGCCGGTTTGGCTCAGCAGTTAGAGCATTGGCCCGCAGACCAAAGAGTCGCAGCTTCAATTCCGGTCAAGGGCATGTACCTCAGTTGCAGTTCGTCCCCGGCCCTGGTCAGGGTCGTGCAAGAGGCAACCAGTCGATGTGTCCCTCTGATGTCAGTGTTTCTCTCTCTCTCCCCCCTTCCCACTTTATCTGAAGATTAAAAAAAAAGAAGGAAGGAAGGCAGCACTTTATCACTAGCTCTGTGGTGCCGCAGTATATGCTTCGCACCCAACACAGCCTCTGCTGTCCCGAAGCCCAAACCAAATCAGGATCTCTGCCATTCTCTCCTGGACACATGGCGGATGATATATGTGGCCAGACAAGAACCACGCCTAGAGGTTGGGCCCCCTTGAGAAGGAAATCTGGCTGTCATCCACATGGCTGGGTGGAAGTGGAGGAAAAGAGAATGAAACTAATATGCTTGACATTTTAAACATAGGACAACATTACCAATTTAATTAGAATTTCTCTCTCAGGAAGGAATAAGGAAAGGTTTCCGGCGGGGGTGGGGGGGGTCTAGGAGTTACCTTCCCCCAGGGACCTGTAATCCTCCTTTGTAAGACCAGCCCATCTTTGGCATTCCCCATCTTAGAGACCCCGCCACACTCCACCAGCTGCCCAAGCCATAAATCTGAGTATAACAAAGTTTCCCTATTCCTCAACCTGCACATTCATGCTGATTTTACTCCCTAGGAAGATTTTGAAGCCATTTATACTGTCTCAGCCCTGTTCTAATTCAGGCCACAGTCATCTCTGGTTTCCTACACCAGCCTCCTAGCTGTTTTCCCTGTCTTCCACCTTACCCCCCTCAAACATGTCCTGCACCTTGTTCAGCCGGACTGATCATTCTGAGTAATGCAAAATTGACCACGCACTACCCTGCTGCAGACTCTTTAGAGACTGCCCTTTACCCTGCGGGTTAAGATTATGCTCTTAAGAAGTTTATAAGACCTGGTAGGATCAGGCCCCTCCCCACCTTCCTAACATTCTCTTACCATCTCCTCCAACAGCTCCACACTCCAGGCACACTGACCTGTAGCTACACTTTTCAAACTTCACTCTCATTCTTGCCTTCCCATGCTATTTCTTTACCCTTTTCCTATGTCCCACTCTCTCCTAACCATCCTTCAGACCTCAACAGCTAGAGACAGCATGTCTTTATCTCTTTTTTTTTTGTCCTCACCCAAGAACATTTTTTGATAATTTTGTTCAGATAGAGTGGGAGGGAGAGAGAGGAAGAGAGAGACATCGACATGAAAGGGACACATCGAGTGGCTGCCACCCACACAACCCAACCAGGGCCGGGGCACAAACTACAACCGAGGTACATGCCCTTAGCGGGAACCAAACCCGGTCTCTCCAGACCACAGGCCAACGCTCTAACTGCTGAACCAAACCGGCCAAGGTAGCATGTCTTTATCTTAGAACTAGCATTCACTTACCTGCTGAAGTCCACCCTGGTGGGCAAGTCCAGCTGTGTTCTCTCACAGCATCCCGAGCTCCCTCAGCTGGCACTGACCCCTTGCGTTGTCATCGCCTCTGCTGTGAAATCTGAGGGCAGGGACCAATTCTGTTTTGGTCTTCATTCTATTCCCAGAGCTGGCCCAAAGGACATTTGATGAATTTAAAAACAGGAAAAAATGTTCAATGTATCTGTCTTGCTTAATTGATTTTTGGCTCTGCTGTTAAGATCTGTAACTTTCCTGCAGGCAGACAAGTTGCTAAAAGCCTTGAAAGCCCACCTGAAACAGGAAACAAGAAAAGAAAATGGAAATCAGGTAAGGTTTTTCATCACCTGTTTAGCAAAACAATCATATTTAGTTAATGAATGATAATAAATACAATGAGTGATGACTTCTAAGACATATTGTTTATTATCAAAGAGATCATTACTGGTTATAGTGAGTCCTGTCATAATAACTACCAGTTATAAATGGTGAAACTGCCTTGCAGCATGTAATCTGTCAAATAAGATCTTCTTGTACAAATGCAAAAGTTGACTACTTTTTGACAGAAGTTATAACGTAGTATGAGTAGGGAAGGAACTGGATTCAAAGTCAGAAAAACCCAGTTTAAGTAGCAGCTTTCTCATTTCTTTTTGTGTTACCTGAGAAAAGTCAAACTCCTTGATTCTTAGTTCCTGCTCTGCTGTATTGAGTCGTGTGAGAATTAAACAAAGTGAGGACTGTGAAAGAGACTTGTAACAAACTGTAAACCACTGCTGATGACAGAAGTTGTCATGGCTCCTTTAAATCCACACCAGAGGTTTCTTTCTTTCTTTTTAAATATGTTTTTATTGATTTTAGAGAGAGAGGAAGGGAGAGGGAGAGATAGAAACATCAATGAGAAACATCAACTGGCCGCCTACTGCACGCCCCCACAGGGGATCGAGCCCGCAACCTAGGCAAGTGCCCTGACCAGGAATAGAATCAGCGACCTGACCTCTCAGTACATGGGACGCTGCTTAATCCACTAAGCAACCCGCTGGGTCATACCAGAGGTTTCTGAGAAGGCATGCCACCTAAAAGGATCAATGAATGCTTCATTAGGGCCAGATTTCTTAACTTGAAATAGGGAAAATGTTAAAAGGCTTTAAGGAACTGGGCCTTAGAGAACATCTGTTTATATATCTAGAAAGGAAGGTAAATTCTAAATGTGAACTGAAAATCTGCCCTGGCCGGTTTGGCTCAGCAGTTAGAACGTTGGCCTGCGGTCTGGAGAGACCTGGGTTCGGTTCCCGCTAAGGGCATGTACCTCGGTTGCAGTTTGTCTCCAGCCCTGGTTGGGTCCTGTGGGTGGCAGCCACTAGATGTGTCCCTTTCACGTTGATGTTTCTCTCTCTCTGTCTCTTCCTCTCTCTCCCTCCCACTCTATCTGAACAAAATATCAAAAAATGTCCTCGGGTGAGGATAAAAAAAAGAAAAAGAAAATCTAACTTCCTCTTCTCTATCTGTATAGTCTCTTAACTATATTCCAACTTATAAACATTTAAAAACTTTGAATATTCAAAATTATTTTGATTCCAGGTTTTAATTTACTAAAAATAGATCACAAAAAATAATTAATTTTCAATTAATTAAATGTTTTTGCAGCACTAAATAATTTTATGTGCTTGTGTGTGTTTAAATGGTTAAGGATAGTCCTGGCCAGTTTGGCTCGGCGGTTAGAGCGTCAGCCCACGGACCAAAGAGTCGCAGATTTGATTCCTCTCAAGGGCATATACCTCGGTTGTGGTTCTGTCCCGGCCCTGGTCGAGGTCGTGCAGGAGGTAGCCAGTCAATGTGTCTCTCACATCCATGTTTCTCCCCCCTTTTCTTCCCTCTCTCTCTTCCCCTCCCTCCCTCATTCCCTCTCCCTCCATACTCCCTCCCCTCCCCCCCTCCCACTCTATCTGAAGATAAATGGGAAAGTATCCTCAGGTAAGTGTTTAAATAAATAAATAAGAATAAAAATGTCTCTATATATTTTAATCTGTTGTAACCCAAAGGTACCACTTGTATAGTGGACAGTTTCTTTTTCTGTTTTTTTAAATTTTCTTTTTCTTTATTGATTTTTAGAGAGAGAGGAAAGGAGAGAGAGAGAGAGATAGAAACATCAATGAGAGAGAACATCGATTGGCCATCTCCTGCATCCCCCCCCCCCCACTGGGGATTATGCCCACAACCTGGGCATGTGCCCTGACTGGGAATCGAACCTGCGACCTCTTGGTAGAACCCGGTTCAATGCTTAACCACTGAACCATACCGGACAGGCTTCTTTTTCTTTTTATTCTCTTCCCTATGACTATCCAGGGAGTTGAGAAGTCAGATCCAGAGAGCATCTTTCTACTCTCATGTAAATATCCCTGCTCCTTTGAAGTTATGCTCACCTTTCTCCTCTCTGATCTGTTGACTTCCCTGTTACTTTCTGATGTTCACCATCTTGTTGTCTTCCTTATCACCTCATGTCTCAACCTTATTTTGGGTGAATTCAAAGGTTCATCTGGATGTGTCTCTTACTACCCGTGCCTTCTGGTTTCTTACCTCCAGTGACTTTTGTTTCTGCTGTTCATCAGCCATCCACTTCTTTGAGCATTCCCTGGACTTTACATCCCTTGGAACTATACTACTTGATAAAATTTCACCTCTGACCAGAACCTTCCATTCTCTAAGCCTCCTTATTCTTTCACTCCCAATACGTATACTTGACATTGTGGTTCTCAGTGCAGGTTGTGTAGGAGAATCATTTGGAGAGAATCTTTTTTTTTTAATCCTCACCTGAGGACATTTTTCCACTTTTGTTCAGATAGAGTGGGAGGGAGAGCGAGCAAGTAAGAGAGAGAGAAACATCGACGTGAAAGGGACTCGTCGAGTGGCTGCCTCCGACACGACCCCAAGGAGGGCCGGGGACAAACTGCAACCAAGGTATGTGCCCTTAGCGGGAACTGAACCCAGGACTCTCTGGACCACAGGCCAACTCTCTAACCAGTGAGCCAAACAGGCCAGGGTAGGGAGAATAATTTTTAAAAATATTGGTATATAGGCTTCATCAAAACCCAGGCCAACTAAATTACTCTCAGGGGGTCCGGGTACAATATAGTGAAGTGGACTGAAAAATTAGGATACAAAGCAGTCTCTCCCCTACTTCCATGCACAGACTACCACCAGCTAAAATATTAGATTTCTCTGTAAGAACATCAAATGGTTATCAAGCAAAGTCCTTTTGGCATTGAAGGATCCCCAACACAATAGTCTCCTCCTAAGGAACCTAGTAGATCAGATTGTGTCAGATAACAATTGCTTGCACACATTCAAACTCCTAATGAGGTTTTTGCTTTGAAATATGAATAAAAGACCAACAGCCATAGACATTTGAGGAAAGCCTTTAGTCTGAGACAGTTAAGATAAGAAACAATTACCCTAGGCCCTGGCCAGGTAGCTCAGTTGTTTAGAGCATCGTCCTGACATGCCAAAGTTGTGGGTTCAATCCCCAGTCAGGGCACGTACAAGAATCAACCAATGAATGCATCAGTAACTGGAACAACAGATTTTTGATTTGCTGTGAGAAAATGATCAAGTTTCGCCCTGGCCGGTTTGGCTCAGCGGTTGGAGCGTCGGCCTGCGGTACAGAGAGACCCGGGTTCGGTTTCCGCTAAGGGCACGTGCCTTGGTTGCAGTTTGTCCCCGACCAAGACCCTGGTTGGTTGTGCCGGTGGCAGCCACTCAATGTGTCCCTTCACATCGATGTTTCTCTCTCTCTTCCTCTCTCTCCCTCCCGCTCTATCTGAACAAAAAATGGAAAAATGTCCTCGGGTTTGGATTAAAAAAAAAGAAAATGATCAAGTTTCGTTGCCTCCCCCCAAAATATTAAAAAACAATTTTCTCAGCCCTGGCCGGTTTGGCTCAGCAGTTAGAGCGTCGGCCTGCGGTCTGGAGAGACCCAGGTTCGGTTCCCACTAAGGGCACGTACCTCAGTTGCAGTTTGTCCCCGGCCCTGGTTGGCCGTGTGGGTGGCAGCCACTCAACGTGTCCCTTTCACGTCGATGTTTCTCTCTCTCTCTTCCTCCCACTCTAACTAAACAAAAAAATGGAAACGTGTCCTCAGGTGAGGATTAAAAAAATATATATATATATTTTTCTCAGCATCGTGTGTTGAATGATGAATCCAACCTTCCCCCACGAGTATGAAGTACGACCATTATCACAGAATGATTATTATATAAGCAGGTCTGTGTGAGGTATTCTGGTACCTATACCGCGCTGTTTTGATAATGTGGGTCTTTACTTTTAGTTTATGGTAGTGCAAGTGCCATTCTTACCTCACCTCATTTTCACCTTTGACAAGTTGACTTGGACGTCTCTAAGCCCCAGATTGCTCATCTGTGAACTGGAGTTAATATTAGTACCTGTCTCATAGGCTTTGAGAAGTAAATGAGATAATTCATGTAAACAATCCAATAAAGTGATATCAGCTGTAATTATTATTAATTATAGCATACTACCTGGCACATAGCATATATTCAATAAATTAATGCGCTTTTAATAATTTGCTTATTTACTCATACTAAGATAACATTGAATGCTTTCCTAGCCTAGGTTTTTGGTTTTTTGTTTTTTTTTCCTTTACTCGAGGACATTTTTTCATTTTTTGTTCAGATAGAGTGGGAGGGAGGGAGAGGAAGAGAGAGAAACATCAATGTGAAAGGTAACACATCGAGTGGCTGCCACCCGCACGACCAACCAGGGCCAGGGACAAACTGCAACCAAGATACGTGCTCTTAGCGGAAACTGAACCCGGGTCTCTCTGGACCACAGGCCGACGCTCTAACCGCTGAGCCGAATCGGCCAGGGCTTGGTGTTTTTTTTTTAAATCCTCACCGGAGGATATTTTTCCATTGCTTTCTAGACAGAGTGGAAGGGAGAGAGGAATAGACAGAAACATCGATGTCAGAGAAACACCAATTGGTTGCACCCCACACGACCCCCCCCATCAGGACCGGTGATCAAACCTGCAACCCCGGTTCTTGCCTTGGCTGGAATCGAACCCGTGACCCCTCAGTCCATAGGCCGATACCCCAACTGCTGAGCCATATCGGCCAGGGCCTTAGCCTAGTTTTTTAGCCTGGGTTGTTAAATGTGATTGTTTCTTTTTGACTGCTCTTTATTTCTTGTCATTGCCTGTAATTTAGTGCTGAAGAGTTTTAAAAATATCTTAGGCATATGTGATATATGGGGTTTTTTTCTGTTTAAATGCTGGTCTTTCTGAGTATCATACCTCTCTACATAGGACATGGCAGATTAATATCTCTCTTTTCAGGATGAAAGTCAAACTTCTGCATCCTCTTGTGATGAGACCGAGATACAGATTAGCAGCCAGGGACTCACCGTGAGGGAACTGGCTGGCCATGTCACCAAAACAAGGAGAAGGCGCAGGACTGTCCACAGGAATCCTAATGCCCAGATAAATGGAAGTGCGCAAACTGAAAATAAGCCGCCACCTGTGCTAGAATTGGTATATCCTTGGAACTTTTTAAATATTCCCTTATGCTCTCAGGTAGTGGTAAACACTGTGTGTTGTAAGTTCCATGCACGTACAGACTCAAGTCTAGGCTGCTCAACATCAAGTCCCTCAGGCTGGCGCTCAGGAAGCACTAATTAAGTCTAAACACACATTAAATATTTGTTGAAGAAATACAGACCTTCATTAAGTGTTAACTTAAGTGAGGTGTAGTACATAAGAAGGAAAGAAACCAACATTAAATATGATTTTTTTTCCTCTTCCCTATCCTGTCCCAGACCTGGTGGTCACACTAGTCTTAGTCTTAGAGCAGCACGGCCATGTGATTGCAGGGGCTTCCCAAGGGCTCTGATTATATTATCCTTTCATTCAAACAGTTTTTACAATACATGGTCCTGGTATTTATTTTCTATCTTTGTACAATCCCTTAGTTGTTAGCATATCTGGGCCTCTTGGTGTTGGTTTCTCATCCGTAAACAAGTTAATCTTGTCATTTGTGCCTTCCAGTGGTCCCTAGTGTATCCTAGTCCCAAAGTCACACTCTTGTAACCCTTGATGAGGCAGAGAACCAAACATGCCACTCTAAAATTTTATTCTCCAGGAAAAACATCTATAACAAAAATAGATCAATTAAAAAATACATAAATTTAAAAATTTCTTTAAATAATTTTTATCAATAAAAATAAAATCTTATTCTTCTACTTTTCTTTAACTCCTTTCCCCCTCAGCTTGGTACCTTATCTTTTGAAGGGAGTAATTACTTCTCTTATTTTTAAATATCTGACTCTAAGCAATATTTAAAATTTTTTAATAGTATATATTAAATTGAGATATAATTAATGTAAAAGATTAGTTTCAGGTGTACAACCTAATGATTTGGTTGGTGTTTGTATATATTGCAAAATGAGCACCATAACTCTAGTTAATATCCATCACCATACATAGTTACAAAAATATTTTTCATGTGATGAGAACTTTTAAGATGTACTCTCTTAGTTACTTTCAAATGTGACGACTTCTTGTTTATCATTTAAGTCATTTATTTCCTTTTAAAATTTGTAGCAGGATCATTCAGAGATAAAAACAAATAATCTGACTGAGGTCCAGAATGAAGAAAAGCTGAAAGACCAGGTTCTCAGAACTGCTGCTGAAGTTCCTTCTCCACTAGATGAGAGCCAAGGAGACCAGAATGCAGTGTCCTCGGGAAACAGTGGAATAAATGGTATGCCCAGTAAATAAATCCGAACTTGCTCAGCAGCCATGTGCCTTAGGTTCCTGTGATTGCTGTAACAAAGTGCTACAAATTGGGTGGCTTAAAACAACACATTTGTTCTCTCACAGTTCTGGAGGCTGGAAATCTGAAATCAAGGTGTCAGTAGGGCCATTCTCCTCTTAAACCTTGGATAGGATCTTGCCTGGCCTCGTTCTGCCTTTTGGTGGTGGCAGTTGATCAGTGTTTCTTAGCTTGCAGCCACATTACTCTAAATCTCTGCCTCTGTTGTATGACATTCTCCCTGTCTTCTTAAAAGGACACCAGTCGTATTGGATTAGAATTTCCACACTAATGACCCCATCTTAACTTGGTTACATCTACAAAGATCCTATTTCCAAATAAGGATATATCACTGCTCCTGGAGGTTGGGACGTTAGCATATCTTTTGGGGGCATATAGTTCAACCCATAATACCATTATAGACCAACTTCTAAGGGCTTGACAATTCAAGCAAAAGTTTGAACCAAATATAGTAGGCCACTAGAGCATCTTTATCAATTTTATAAACCAGAATAAGAGTAGACCTTTAGGGAAGTTGATATCTACTCGATGAGGAGAGCCTGCATTTTGTCCATTAGCTCCTTCTGACCTACTCCAGAGACAGGTGCAAAAGACCTGTTTGCCTATTCAACCAGAATAGTTAAAGGGAGCTACAAAGTCAAACTTCCCAGTGGTGTGGCATTTTTTATTATGATAAATATTTATTCTTCTTAGACTAACCTCCTAAAAACCTCTTCCTGAAACTTTCTCAACTAAAAGTTTGTTTCAATAAGACCAGAAAACATCAATTCCCTTATATCCAACAGGACTTGGTGCTTTCTGATTTCCTTCCTCATGAAGCTTGCCAGTTGCAACACAGTGCCCCAGTGTTCATTTCACCCCAGCCAGTCTACCTGGTCTAGTCTCCACCAAGCAGTTAAATGCAGAATTCTTTTGTTTGTTTTTGTTTGTTTTTTTGTTAATCCTCACTCAAGGCTATTTTTCCACTGATTTTTAGATAGAGTGGAAAGGAGGGAGAGAGAGAAACATGGATGTTAGAGAGACTCATCGACTGGTTGCCTCTCACATGACCCTTGACTACTGGGGCTGGGCTTTGCCTGCAACCCAAGTACGTTCCTTTGACCAGGAATCAAACCCGCGACGCTTTGGTTCTCAGGCCAACACTCTAACCACTAAGCAACACTGGTCAGGGCTAAATGCAGAATTTCTAATGCTAAGCCATCTCATTCTCCCCAGAATTTTGCATTTCTTACTAACTCTGTTTCCAGGAAGTCCAGGTTCTGATTCAGTAGGATCTAAGGTGAGTCTGGGAGTCTGCAATTTTTATTTATTTTTGTTAATGCTCACCTGAGGATATTTTTCTATTAATTTTTAGATAGAGTGGAGAGAGGGAGAGAGAGCATGAGAGAGAGAGAGAAAAACGTAGATGTGAGAGAGACACATCGATTGATTGTCTCCAGCACAACCCTGACCAGAATCAAACCAGGTATGTGCTCTTGACTGGGAATCGAACTCAAGGCCCTTCAGTCTGTGGGCCGATGCTCTAACTGCAGAGCCACACCAGCCAGGCTGCAGTTTAAAAAAATTTTTTTTCCTTTATTGATTTTAAGGAGAGGGAGAAAGAAATAGAAACATTGATGAGAGAGAACATCAATTGGCTGCCTCCTCATGCCTTCCACTGGGGATCAAGCCCACAACCTGGGCATGTGCCTTGATCAGGAATCGGACCAGCGACCTCTTGGTGCATGGGTCGACACTCAACCTCTGAGCCACGCCGGCTGGACCAGGCTGCAGTTTTTAATAAGCACCTCATGTTTGAAACCTATTAAAATACACTTCCTTTTTTTTTTTTTTTTTTATCCTCACCCGAGGATATTTTTCCATTTTTTGTACAGATAGAGTGGGAGGGAGAGAGAGAGAGAAACATCGATGTGAAGGGACACATCGAGTGGCTGCCACCCACACGACCAACCAGGGCCGGGGACAAACTGCAACCGAAGTACGTGCCCTTAGCGGGAACCGAACCCGGGTCTGTCCGGACCGCAGGCCAACGCTCTAACCGCTGAGCCAAACTGGCCAGGGCACACTTCCTTTTCAATCACGCATTTTTATGTGGCAAGATTTGTTTTCATATGTGTATACCTCAACCGAAACAATGTATCACAACATATTATCTGCAGATAAGAGAATCCAGTTGCCTTTTATAAGTCAGATATTAAAGAGATTGTATTTTTAAAAATTACCACTTTACTCACTATTTTTGTGTTAGAAATTTTAGCCATTTTTCATAAATTTGTTTTAATCCTCAAGGATATTTTCCCATGGATTTTCAGATAGAGTGGGAGGGAGGCAGAGAGAGAGAGAAACATCCACGTGAGACACGTTGACCGGCCACCTCCTGCACGATCCCAACCAGGGACAGGGATCGGACCAGCATCCAACCCACAACTCTTTGGTACATGTGCTGATGTTCTAACCACTAAGCCAAACCAGCGAGGGCCATTTTTCATAAATTTATGTTAACATTTAATGGGCATATTGTTGTGTAGTAAATCAAATGTTTTAAAATATCTTAGTATCTGATATGGCATATATTGATAGATATAACTAATATACATGGAAAAAAATTCTTTGGGAGTCTCAATAATTTTTGAGAGTATAAAAGGATCCTGAGATTACAAAGTGTGAGAACTGCTAATCTAATCTATACATAGACCTTTTTATTTTTTTTAATCATGAGAGAGAGAGAAAGAGAGAGAAACATCAATGTGATAGAGCCACACTGACTGGTTGCCTCCCACGTGACCCAACCAGGGCTGGGGAAGAACCACAACTGAGGTGCGTGCCCTTGACCAGGAATTGAACCATGACTTACTGGTTCGCAGGCCGACGCCCTAACTGCTGGGCCAAAGTAGCCAGAGCCATAGACCTTTTTAGTTGCATCAATAATTTCATCAGTTATGTCTCTTAAAGGAAAATTTCAGCTCATTATTTGCATTTCGTTGTCCTATTTCTTTAGTCTACTTTAATCTGAAATAGTTCCTCAGTCTTTCTTTGTCTTTCAGGATGTTGACATTTTTTATACAGGTGGTTTTGCGGGGTTACTCTGACTTGGTTTCTCTGAGGTTGCTGACGGTTAGATTCAGATCATGCACTTTTGGCTGGATTCCATAGTGATGTTTGTGTCCTTCGCAGTCACCACTGAGAAGGCACAGGTATCGGTTTGCCCTGTGTCTAGTCATGTTAACTTCTATCACCTGGTTATGATGGCATCTGTTAAGTTGCTTCTCTATAAAGTTACCATATTTTCATTTGTAATTAAGTATCTTATGAGGACTGACTCGTTTTTCACGGAACTTTTCTGTTTGTTTTTGTTGTCATTTTGTTTTTAATGCTGTTTCTTTTTTATTTTTTTTAAATTTTTTCTTTATTGGTGTTAGAGAGAGGAAGAGAGAGAGAAAGATAGAAACATCAATGAGAGAACATCATTTGGCCGCCTCCTGCATGCCCCCCACTGGGGATCGGTCCCACAACCTGAGTATGGGCCCTGACTGGGAATTAAACTGGCGACTTGGTACATGGGTCAACACTCAACCACTGAGCCACACCGGCCAAGCATTTTTTTGTTGTTGTTATCATTGTCTTCAATCCTCATCTGAGGACATGCTTAGAGAGAAGAAAGGAAAGAGAGAGAAACACTGATCTGTTGCCTTCCATAGATTCCCCAACTGGCAATTGAACCTACAGTCCAGATGTGTGCCCTGACCGGGAATTGAACACACAACCTTTTGGTGTACCAACTGAGCCATTCCAGCCGGCTCTCTCTGGTTTTAGAGCCAAGGTCCAAACAGAAGCCTCTAGAGCCCTGACTGCTCTATCAAATATTCTTTGCCTAGTTTTATGGCTACATTAGAGAACCTTAAGTATGGGCAACTTTATAAGTAGTATTACTTGAAAACCCACTTACATATTTTTTTTTATTAATCCTCACCCGAGGACATTTTTCTATATTTTGTTCAGATAGGGTGGGAGGGAGAGAGAGGAAGAGACAGCAAGAGAGAAACATCGATGTGAAAGGGACACATCAAGTGGTTGCCACCCGCATGACCCAACCAGGGCTGGGGACAAACCAACCGAGGTACACGCCCTTACGGGGAACCGAACCCGGGTCTCTCTGGATCACATGCCAACGCTCTATCCGCTGAGCCAAACCAGCCACGGAAAAACCAACTTACATATTTTTTAATAGATTACCTCAAGTTGAAAAAGGTATCAGAAAGTGGAAAATGATTTTAAGTGGGAGCAAACAGTAAACCTTATATACACTGTGATTTCAACTGAATTTAAAGGGAAAATAAACAAAACTAGCATAGGCATGCTTTGCTTTATTGCACTTCACAGATGTGGCTTTTTTTTTTTTTAACAAATTCAAGGCAAGACCCTCCACCAGAAAAATAATTACTACTTGCTTTATTGTGGTGGTCTAGAATAGAACCCTCAGTATCTCTGAGGTCTGCCTTTAGAAGCAAAGGATCTAAGGAAATATACCAAAATGCTCATGGTATTTTTTAGGCTGGTGGAGTTGGGTGATTCTTATCATTCTGGTTACAATAATAGCATGTTTATAGCAAAAGTTCTGAAAAAGTGCATTAAGTTTTTGCTATATGTCCTGGCTGGTTTGGCTCAGAGGTAGAGCGTCGACCCGCTGACCAATGAATTGTTGGTTTGATTCCAGCCAAGGGCACATACCTGGTCAGGGTTGTGCGGGAGGCAACCAGTCAATGTGTCTCTCTCACGTGGATGTTTCTCTCTCCCTCTTCCTCCCACTCTGTCTGAAGATAAGCAGAAAAATATCCTCAGGTGAGGATTAAAAAAATAAAATTTTGGTATAACTTCTATACAGGAGCAAAATTTCTATCTACTTGAAGCACAGGAGCTGAAGTGTTAGTGATGCTATAACTCATTCTTTGTGCTCTATGTGTGCCATTTCTCCCAGCACCTTGGCAGAGCCTATCACATGAATATGCTCATGTTAACTTTCACACATTTCTTAATGGCAAGATTTGTTGAAATCTTTTCATTAGTTCTTTATCTTTGTATTCAGGTAATGAAGATTCAAAGGTACCTTCGGGAAGAAAGAAGTCTGTCTACACAGATGGGTTTTCCAAATCTGGAAAAAATAAAAGAATTGCAAGCACTACTCCAAGTAAGTTTTACGCACAAGAAACATAAAGTGACGCTTGGCCCCTCAGGCTACTGTTGGGGAGTGAGTGTACCGTCACAGCTCAAAGCTGGGGTGCGGGAACTGGGGCTGGCATCTGCCTTTTCTCATTTTCTAGCTGTATATATGTGTGTGTGTGTGTGTGTGTGTGTATATGTGTGTGTGTGTGTGTGTGTGTGTATACACACTTAATTAGAAAAGCACAGAGCAGGGGTTCAGCAGACTACTGCCCACCTTTGGCCTCTTATACCCCTTGAGCTAAGAATGATTTTTAGTTCTATGGGGTTGTATTAAAAAAAAGAACATGAGCCCTGGCCGGTTTGGCTCAGCGGTTGGATCATCGGCCTGTGGTCCAGGGTTCGGTTCCTGCTAAGGGTTCGTACCTCGGTTGCGGTTTGTCCCCGGCCCCAGTTGGTCATTTGGGTGGCAGCCACTCGATGTGTCCCTTTCACATCAATGTTTCTCTCTTCCTCTCTCTCCCTCCCACTCTGTCTGAATAAAAAAATGGAAAAATATCCTCAGGTGAGGATAAAAAAAAAAAGGACATGAGACAGATCATACAGTTTTTGGGCACAAAGCCTAAAATATTTACTATCTGCCTTTACAGAAAAGGTGTGCAAATGCTTGGCATAGATCTTTCTAAGAATTATAAAACATCAAATTTATTATTAAATAAGGCCATTTGATTAATTGGTGAGGGGGAGAAGACAAATCTATTATTCTTTGGACTAAACTAAGATGTCAGCAGTGAAATGGACAATAGAGAGATGGTGAATGTTTGATAGTTTTTAAGATAGATATGCTTTGCCCCCTGAGTTTCCAAAAACTAAATGTTTTGAAATTAAAGTTTTGGCAAAGATGATGTTGAAATTGAATGTTAGGGTTGCAGAGAGAATAAGTATTGCTAACAGGAAAACAAAGAGAAGATGAATAAATGGGTTTTGTCCTGTTACTAATTTTCATATTTTGTGGAACATTCTAGACTTCAAGAAGCTTCATGAAGCCCGTTTTAAGGAAATGGAGTCCATTGATCAATATATTGAGAGAAAAAAGAAACATTTTGAACAACACAACTTGTTTAAAGAACTGAAGGTAATTATGTTCTTAATCAGATTAAGATATTTTATTTTAATGTTGATACTGTTTATACACTATGGATTATACAGCCAGCTTTCTATTACTCCATTAGCAGATCGGATTTGTTTGAGTTTAAGGCATCTTTATTATCTGAAATCGCTTTCCCCCCACCATGAGAATTTTAAAAACCCTCTAGATAAACAGTGAGTCCTCACTATACAGAATTCCAAAGCAGCAATAAGTTGTTCTGTGTCCCACATTCAGACATTATGCCTGTCATCTTTCTTGAGAATGGACTGATTTATAGCTGAAGACATCTTCATTCTGTCTGTCACCTAAAGGAAAAAGGGTGACCAGCAGTGGCTAACTTACAGGCTTTCAGTGATTACTGAGCTTCCTGGGGGGCCTTCGGTCCAGGTCCTACTGGACTCAAGGCCCCTTCAAGTAAGAAAAGGTGGTAAAGTAAAGCCCTAAGGTTCAATTTGCAGAGTAGTGAGCTGATATTATCCTAGAAAGTTGATGCTCTTGTCTTACATGGTATCTGATGTTCAAGGGGAGAGGCCTGGGAAACATTTATTTTAGAATTATTAATAATAACAAGCCACCTGCCTATTTCTCAAAAAGAATAAGGTAGTTTGTTGTATTACAACACAAAATAGTATAAAGTCGATTTAAAAAAGGCAAAAAGCCCTGGCCGGTTTGGCTTAGCAGTTAGAGCGTTGGCCCGCGGAACAGAGAGTCCCGGGTTCGGTTCCCGCTAGGGGCACGTACCTTGGTTGCAGTTTGTCCCCGGCCCCTGTTGAGGTTGTGTGGGTGGCAACCACTTGATGTGTCTCTCTCACGTCAATGTTTCTCTCTTCCTCCCTCCCTCCCGCTCTATCTCAAGATAAAAATGCAAAAATGTCCTCGGGTGAGGATAAAAAAAAACTAAGGGCAGAAAATGAGTACTGTTAGCAGGTGCTTATCTATTATATCACTCACTCAGTTGAGTTTTGAGTTTTCTGATACTAATGCCTGCAGGGAAATGCACTGGGTAATAAATTCTAAATTTAAACACACACACACACACACACACACACATAAACTTCTTCGTGAGAAGCTTAATCTGGGTAATAAACATTCACGTGAACAGATTCACAAAACCACTGTTGAACACACTGTTTATCAATCTTCAAGCAAACAGTGACAAAGCCAAGTCACGGCATTAAATATCTCCATTCCGTCATACCAAACAAACAACGTGGGTGGATTAGATATTTAGTATGTCCAGAATTCTGGGATAAGAGGCCCATCCTGACACTTCACAGAAAAAAGACATTTAGCCTCTTTTTCTGCAAAGGCAAGAGCTAGTTGCAAATATGCCTTGGAAGCAAGGCCACTCATTTTCCTTACCATGAAACTTAAGTACTTGACTGAACGTCAAACTTTCTGTACAACATAATATGGATGAGTTAATTTTCCAGGTAAAAAGTTAAGTGCAGCCGGGCAGGTGTGGTTCAGTGGTTGAGTGTCGACCCATGCACCAAGAGTTCACTGGTTCAATTTCTAGTCAGGGCACATGCCCAGCTTATGGGCCTGATCCCCAGTGAGGGGCATGCAGGAGGCAGCCAATCGTTCTCACTGATTGATTTCTCTCTCTCTCTCACTCTCACTCTCTCCCCCTCTCCTTTTCTCTCTCTAAAAATCAATAAAGAGCCTTGGCCAGTTTTGCTCAGCGGTTAGAGCGTTGGCCTGTGGTCCAGAGAGACCCGGGTTCGGTTCCTGCTAAGGACACGTACCTCGGTTGCAGTTTGTCCCTGGTCCTGGTTGGGTCATGTGGGTGATAACCACTCGATGTGTCCCTTTCACGTGGATGTTTCTCTCTCTTTCCCTCCCACTCTTATCTGAACAAAAAAGTATCAAAAAAATAAAAATCAATAAAGAAAAAAAATTATTTAAAAAAAAGTGGGGATGACGAGGGGCGGGGGTGGATAAATGGGGGCTCTTGTCTGCACTTTGCCAAGGGCACAATGCCGTCTGAGAGGTCAAGCTTTAAAGGTGCATTTTATGCCCTGGCCAGTTTGGCTCAGTGATTCACAGACCAATGAATCACGGGTTCAATTTCGGTCAAAGTCACATACCTCAGTTGCCCTTCATTCCCGGCCCTGGTCTGGGTCATGTGGGAGGCAACCAGTTGATGTGTCTCTCTCACATCGATGTTTCTCTCTCTCTCTCTCTCTTTCTTTCTCTCTCTCTCTCTCTCTCTTTCTCTCTTTCCCACTCCCTCTCTCCCTCCCTCTCTATCTGATGATAAATGGAAAAAATCCTTGGGTGAGGATAAATAAATAAATACATAAAGATGCATTTTCCTTTTTTCTCTGAAGCAGACCATCACTAAGGAAGTGGTGGCAACTCCAGGTGGTCTCCAAGGAAGACTCTCTACAGCTTGTACTCCTGCAAGCCAGCGGCGCTCCCAAGGCCGGGCCCAGGGCACTGCAGATCAGAGCACCTTATGTGTGAAGGGGTCAGTCAAGCATTCCACTTTCTCGGCAACTAAAATGAATGTCAGGTAAAGAACTCCAAAATGTGATGGAGAACAAGGTGTCAAAGCTTTACTGCTTCTAGTACATTTCAGGTGGATTACATCAAATATGTCTTCACATTGATTAAAAAGAATGAGCCCAGGCCGGGGGGTTCAGTTTGTTAGAGAATCGTCCCCTACACTAAAATGATTGTGGGTTCGATTCCTAGTTGTGGGGGATACAGGAGGCAACAGGTAGATGTTTCTCTCACCCTCCTTTCCTCTCTTTCTCAAATCAATGAAAACATATCTTTGGGTGGGGAGTTTTTAAAAATGAGCCCTGGCTGGTTTGGCTCAGCCATTAGAGCATTGGCCCTTGGACCAAAGAATTGTGGTTTCATTTCTGGTCAAGGCATGTACCTCGGTTGCAGTTCAGTCTCTGGCCCTGGTCCGGGTCATGTGGGAGGCAACCAATTTGATGTGTCTCTCACATCAATGTTTCTCTCTCTCTCTCCCTCCCTCTCTCCTCCCCTCCCACTTTATCAGTAGATAAATAGAGGAATATCCTCAGGTGAGGTTTTAAAAAACAAAAAAGGATCAGAACAGAGAAAAAGATCTGCAAATGGCTTTTATTACGTTCTAAGCCTTTTCTTCCTTTTTTCTAATTTTTTTCTTACTGATTTTTGAGAGAGAGGAAAGGAGAGAGAGAGAGAAACATTGATGAGAAAGAACATGGATTGGCCGCCTCCTGGATGCCCCCCCACTGGGGATCTGGCCCACAATCTTGGCAAATGCCTTGACCAGAAATTGAACCAACAACCTCTTGGTGCATGGGTCATTGCTCAACCAGTAAGCCAGACAGGGTGCGCTCTTTTTTAAAATATTTTATTATTTTATTTATTTATTTTTTAATCCTCACCTGAGCTATTCTTCCATTGATTTTTGACTGCCTCCTGCATGACCCCCAACCAGGGCAGGGGATAGAACCTGCAACTCTTTGGTCTGCAGGACGGATCCAAACTGGTCAGGGCTTTAATCTTTTTCTTTACATTTGTATTTGGCTTTCTCCAACTTACCTAAGCTCACATTTGATTCATAAGTAGAGACAGAAAATAAGATATATATTAATATTTTCATCTTATTAGTTTAATACATAACTGCAAAGATGTGCAAAGAGCCCTAGTCTGTTTGGCTCAGCAGTTAGAGTGTCGACCTATGGTCCAGAGAGAGCCAGATTTGGTTCCTGCTAGAGGCACGTACCTCGGTTGCAGTTTGTCCCCTGACTGGGTCATGCGGGAGGCAGCCACTGAATGTGTCCCTTTCACGTCGATGTTTCTCTCTCTCTCTCTTCCTCTCTCTCCCTCCCACTCTATCTGAACAAAAAATGGAAAAATGTCCTCGGGTGAGGATAAAAAAAAAAGATGTGTAAAGAGAGGTTTTTCCATTGACTTAAATACACAGTATAAGCTAAATACCTATAGAAAATCTCTCAATGCAGTGAAAAATGGACTTTTCCATATATCAAAGATGTATCAGTTCTAAAATTTTTTAGATTACTCCAATAAAATATTTTTTTAATGGATTTGTCCAAAAGTATAAATACTGCAACTCATTGGGCACTGCAGTATCACAGCTATCTCATGCCCACAGATCCCTTTGTTTTGTTTGATTGGACCTTTCCTGGTATCAGGGTACCTCTCAACAATGACTATCCTCACAGGTGAAGATCTTCAAGTTCCTTCCTCACCCGAGGACATTTTTCCATTTTTTGTTTAGGTAGAATGGGGGAGGGAGAGAGAGAGAGAGAGAGAAATATCGACGTGAAAGGGACACATCAAGTGGCTGCCACCCCCACGACCAACCAGGGCCGGGGACAAACTGCAACCAAGGTACGTGCTCTTAGCGGGAACCAATCCTGGGTCTCTCTGGACCACAGGCTGATGCTCTAACCGCTGAGCCAAACTGGCCATTGCAGGTTCCTTTCTTTTAATAACAAATATTTATCCCGTCCTTTTTAAGAGCACCTGCAGCATCTAATACAGTTGGTACGTGATAATGCTTCCCTAATGTACAAATATGTGACATAGTTTTTATTCTCACCTGAGGATTTGTTTATTGATTTTTTAAAAAATTTTTTAGAGAGAGGAAGGGGAGAGAGAGAACATTGATCAGTTGCCTCCCATGTGCACCCAGACCAGTAATCGAACCTACAACCTTTTGGTGTACCATACAATGCTCCAACCAATACTATTTAAGAATACCACAGTCAGGAACTAGTGCTTGTTTCACTGCAATGTGCAGAACAACCTGGACCTCGCAGCATCTGTCCTAGCACAGCCAATATTCTAACTGATGTACAGTCTTTGGTAATAATTTCAGGTGTTGATTCAGGATCACCATCAAATTATTAGTTATAAATCCAGAAGTCCCTGTTAAATCCCCACCACCAACCTTATGTATATTTATGTCATTAGTAGATATTCACTGAATGTAAGACACCATCAATTGAGGACTCACCATTTTATTAACCAGTAAGAAAAGTCACTGCCAACTAACTATGATATGTTATCATTGTGAAACATCCCAATTTCAGAGATGTTAAAATTTAGGAAAACTATGCATCAGAGAATCAAGGAAATACATTTGTGGCAATTTGCTATGAGTAGAGAATGGACTTATGTTCCGCTCAAATGAATAATATTCTTTTAGGAAGACGTAAGATCTGTTCCCTTCACTCATTTGGCATAGCAATCTCCTGTTCCCTCCAACTTACCATCACCAGGAGGAGGAGAAATAAGTAGAGCTTCTTCGAGTACCTCCTAATCTGTAACTTGAGGCCTGCAGATTCCTTCAAGCTCAGGCTCATACTGTCATTGGCCAACACAGGGCGAGAAGAGAATACATATCATATTTTATAAATAACAAAAGTTGATAAATGATTTGCTATAGCATCAGTGTTAAGAGCATGTCTAGCCCTGGCCGGTTTGGCGCAGCAGTTCTCAACCTGTGGGTCGCAGCCCCTTTGGGGGTCGAAAGACCCTTTCACAGGGGTCACCTAAGACATAACAGTAGCAAAATTACAGTTATGAAGTAGCAACAAAAATAATTTTATGGTTGGGGGTCACCACAACATGAAGAATTGTATTAAAGGGTCGCGGCATTAGGAAGATTGAGAACCACTGAGTTAGAGCATCGGCCGTGGACCAGAGAGCCCCAGGTTTGGTTCCTGCTAAGGGCACATACCTCGGTTGCAGTTTGTCCTTGGCCCCAGTTGGGGGTCATGTGGGTGGCAACCAGTCGATGTATCTCTCTCACATTGATATTTCTCTCTCTCTCTCCCTCCCTCTCTCCCTCCCGCTCTATCTGAAGATAAATGCAAAAATGTCCTCGGGTGAAGGAAAAAAAAGAGCATGCCTATTCTGCAAAAGAGGTTCATTTGTGTAAAATATTTATTGGGACCCTTTCACTGCTTGGTGATAGACAAGTGGCTTTGTTTATAACTTTGACACAAGTTACTCTTGACACACCCTGGCCGGTTTGGCTCAGCGGTTAGAGTGTCAGCCATGGACCAGAGTTGTGGGTTCGATTCTGGTCAAGGGCACGTACCTTGGTTGCAGGTCAGTCCCTGGCCCTGGTAGGGTTGTACAGGAGGCAACCAATTGATGTGTGTGTCTCTCACATTGATGTCTCTCTCTCTCTCTCTGCTCCCCTTCCCCCTCCCCCTCACACTCTGTCTGAAGATAAACAGAAAAATATCTTGGGTGAGGATTTAAAAATAAATAAATAAATCACAACTTTAAAAAAGGTTACTCTTGACAGTACTCATATCTTGTACTCCACTGTCCTATTTAGGTTTTCGGCTGCTACTAAAGATAATGAATACAAGCGGTCACTGACCAAGACTCCAGCCAGAAAGTCTCCACATGTGTCCATATCTGGGAATACCCCAAAAGGCCAGCCTGTGCTTGGGACAAACAAGTTAAAGACTACAAAGAGGGATTCTGCTACGGGTAAAATAATATATAGGTTCATCTTTAAGCCATGTAACTCCCTGAAATTAAGTATATCTGTTTCCTTAAGCCTCTCTCCATTTCTGTAAAATCAAAAGCAAACATTTCACCATAGCGTATTTTTCATTTTATACTGGTGAGGGAAATGCTAGAGACAAACTAGTATCTGCCTGAGAACTCCATCCTGTCCAAGAGGAGTCCTAAGAGGGTTACCCTCCCTGAGAGCATTCAGCCCCTTATCAGACCCAGGGATTAGGAGGAGGAGAACCATAGTATTCATTACAGCCTCTGAATGGTCCTGCAGGACTCTGATACTAAGGGGATCCCAGGGTTTGTGGAATAAATGCCACACTATTGACTAGTGAACTGGGTAAGCCAGAATAAGCCATATAGGTACTCTGGTTAGCAATAAACAGAGCCATGAATCTTATCTATATGTGATTAGGTTCCTTGTTGGCTTTATATCTGTGTTTTTATTGATCTTTTAGAGAGAGAGAAATGGAGAGATAGAAACATAGATGTGAGAGGGAATCCTTGATCAGCTGTCTCCTTCCCATCCCCTGCTGGGCATCAAGCCCACAACTTGGGTGTGTGCCCTGTCCGGGAATTGAACTGGGACTTCTCAGTCCACAGGACAATGCTCAGTCCACTGAGCCACACTGGCCGGGCAGTAATATATAATTTTTAAAAAGGGTAAATAATATCAGGGAAACAGCCTGAAAAATTACCTAGTTAATTATTTAAACAGGATTCTAAACTCCCAGCTGATCCTAGGAAATGTCATAATGTTTAGACTATTTCGGGAGCAGCTAACAGGAAACAAATCTCAGGGGTTAACTTTCTTCAGTTATTCTTTCTCCTTTTAAACCCTACACTTGTTTCGGCCCATATATATAGATTATATTTTTCAGATTGAGAAGTGATACTTTAATTTAAGAAGAAACTATAACAGGTCTTTTTGTTCTCTCTCTCTAATCAAGCCCTTGGGTTTTGTGTGTTGACTTTTTTTTTTTAGTTATTACCCCATTCAAGTTGACATCTGAAGCAGTACAGACTCCGGTCTCCAACAGGAGACCAGTGTTTGATCTCAAAGCAAGTTTGTCTCGTCCCCTCAACTATGAGCCACACAAAGGTACGTGGGGATGTTTTGAGGTTCAAAACACAAAGATTTAAGATTAACCAATTTTGCATCGGAAGATGTGACCTCTGATGGAAGAAACCTTACTTGATCACCTAGAATCCCTGCTCCCACTCCCCATGGTTAAAAATGTGCATTGCTCTGGCTGGTTTGCCTCAGCAGTAGAGTGTCGGCCCTTGGACCAAGGTTTGATTCTGGCCAAGGGCATGTACCTCGGTTGTGGTTCATCCCCGGCCCTGGTCGGGGTCATGCAGGAGGCAACCAATCGATGTGTCCCTTTCACATCAATGTTTCTTTCTTACTCTCTCTCCCCCCGCCTCTGTCCCACTCTATCTGAAGATATAAAAATTAAAAAATGTACTTTGCCCGGACAGTGTGGCTCAGTGGTTGAGCATTGTCCCATGCACTAAGAGGTTGCTGGTTAGGTTGCTGGTTCGATTCCTGGTCAGGGCACATGCCCAGGTTGCAGACTCGATCCCAGGGGGGTGGGGTGGGGGTGGGGCAGAAGGCAGCCCATTGATGTTTCCATCTCTTCTCTCTCTTCCTCATGCTCTAAGAAAATCAGTAAAACATTTTAAAAATAAAAAGAATTTCCATTAAAAAAACGTTAAGTAAGTGGTTCACTTACATTTTTGTTAATCAAAGATATCATTTCTAATCAGTGTTACTGCAAAGAATTGATAAAATTTCAGCCAAAATCAAGAAATGTTAGAAGTGAGTCTGTGGGTAAATTAATGTTTTCTTTAAAGCTTTCAAAGTATCCTAGGCTGACTGGGAACCACTGGTCGGTCTAACAATCTGGGATGTTTATTGGTCAGATGTCATTCTTGAGCATATACTGACGTATTCTTACATCTATTTATAATAACAATACTTAATGTGACTTACCTTTCACTATTTGTTTTGTTTTTTATCCTCACCGAGGACATTTTTGCATTTATCTTCAGATAGATTGGGAGGGAGAAAGAGAAACATTGATGTGAGAGAGGCACATTGACTGGTTGCCATCCACACAACCCCAACCAGGGCCGGGGACAAACTGCAACTGAGGTACTTGCCCTTAGCGGGAACCGAACCCAGGACTCTCTAGTCCGTTGTCCGACACTCTAACCGCTGAGCCAAACTGGCCAGGGCCCTTTCAGTGCTTCTGGAATTACTTAAAGAAAAAAAAACTTCCTTCAATAATCATGTTTATCTTTAAATTACTAATGTCAATGAAACAAAAGTAATGAAAACGTAAATCTGATTTAGCTATGGTAAAAAAAAAAATTTGCTTTTCTCACAAACCCCATTTTTTTCTCCCCAAGTTTTCCCATCTGTGGCAATGGCACCTCTCTCTGCTGAGTTGTCTACTGAGTTGTCAGGGCAGAAACCTAGGAGTCCTCTTTGGATCCTCACTTTCTCTTAGACTCCATATCTGGCCCATCAGCTGATCCTTTCACCTCTCCCTTTGAAAAGTCTTTTCATCTGACCACCTTTCACCCCTCCACAATGACTCCCATTGGTCCAGGTCATCATCATCTCTTACCTGGGCCTCTGGAATAGCCTCTTTGCCCACTACAACCTTAAAAACAGACAGAGCACATCACTGCCTTGTTCAGAACCTCCTGAGGGTTTCCCTTCTCTCTCCCAGCTTCAGTCATAACTTCCTCCTGTCCCTGACTGGGCCGACCACATTGGTGTTTCGGTGCCTAAAGCACACTGAGCTCACTCCCATCTCCAGGTCTTTGAACTTGTTACCCCTCTTCTCCACCTGGAATACTGTGACCACAGGCTTTTGCACAGCTTGTTCCCTCATTGTAATGGGACATCCACTGAGCTGTCACCAACTCAGGCCTTTCCTCCACTCCCTGCTTCCCAGTCTTTACTCCTTAGCCTGGTCCACATTTCTCCACAGCATGTGGCGTCACCTGATGTGATGTTACCTGATTATCATCTACTTCTACCACTGGAATGTAAGCCCAAGAAAGCAAGGATTTTGACTGCTTGGTTCACTGCTTATGTTCCCAGCACCTACAACAGAGCCTGGCACATACCAGGTGCTCAAAAAGTAGCCCTGGCTGGTTTGGCTCAGCGGTTAGAGCGATGGCCTGTGGTCCGGAGAGATCCGGGTTCGGTTCCCGCTAAGGGCATGTACCTCGGTTGCAGTTTGTCCCCGGCCCTGGTTGGGTCGTGTGGGTGGCAGCCACTCAATGTGTCCCTTTCACGTCGATGTTCCCCCTGAACAAAAAATGGAAAAATGTCCTTGGGTAAGGATTTAAAAAAAAAAAAGTATTTGCTGTGGGAATGACCGTGACCACCACGAACTTCCACTGATGGTAGAAAACCTGGATTAGAGCTTCAGCTGTGCTGCGTACTATTTTTATATCCTACACAATTCACTTAGTTCCTTTATGGAAGGGAAAATGAATAAATAATATTTTAGTCATTGATTAAATGACAATGATGGGTGTGAAAGTCTTTTCTATAAAATGGGAAACACTGCAAATGATAATCATTGGTACTCAGACATCAGTCATAAACTATAAAAATAAAGCAATACATAAACATCAGGAAATTTGGTCCCAGTTCTAAAGCCAACAAAGTATTCCCACTTGTTCCATTCCAAATACAATTTACTGTATAACAGTAATAACAGACTGCATGGGAGAAATACCACTTTTAAAAAATGCCACTTTAATGCTAAGCATAATACCGATGCAACATTGGGATAAACTACTTGGTTGTGATGGCTTCTTTTAATGTTCTATATAATGGGAGTTGTTTTTTTGTTTATTTTTAGTATTAAGGTTTTCTCTGTGAGTTTCCAAGGATTAAAAAATAGAACACATTATTTAGAGAAAAACTGCAATTTATATCTGGAAAGTGAAACTGAAATTAACAAAATACTTATACTGATGAATGTCTATTAAAACGAAGTATGGTGCTCACTTCAACAGCACATATACTAAAATTGGAACGATACAGAGAAGATTAGCATGGCCCCTGTGCAAGTATGACACGCAAATTCGTGAAGTGTTCCATATTTTAAAAAAACACACAAAAACAAATTCAAAGTATAAGCCCTGGTCGGTTCGGCACAGCGGTTAGAGCGTCAACCCATGGACCAATGAGTCATGGGTTTGATTTCCGTCAAGATTGTGGTTCATACCCAGCCCTGATTGGGTCGTGCAGGAGGCAATCAGTCAATGTGGCTCTGTCACATTGATGTTTCTCTCTGTCTCTCCCTCCCTCCTACTCTATCTGATGATAAACAGAAAAGTATACGCAGGTAAGGAATAAAATATATATGTGTGTGTGTATATATATATATATATATATAAATAAATGTATGTTGAAAGCAAGCAAGTAGCCACAGATGAATAAAATTGGGACTATAAATACAAGAATCTTCATTAATCTGTTTTTGTCTCTGTCCGAAACTAGGAAAACTGAAACCATGGGGACAATCTAAAGAAAATAAATCTCTGAATGAGCATGTAAGCAGAGTTAGCTTCCATAAGAAAACTTACAAACAACCTCGTCTCCAGACCAGGTGAGTACATAATTATCCAGGTCTAAAATTCTTTTAATTTTGAAAGACTATATTAAAGCAGAGCCTCTGAGGAATAGAGCCTCAGTAAGTGGTATTAAGGAATCGGCTAGAAGCGTAATCACACATTGAACTTTCTAAAAGTACATATGCTTAGGCACCGCCACAGTGGGTTCTAATTCAGTAGGTTCGAGGTGGGGCCCAAGCATCTGCATTGTTTCCAAAGCTCTACAGGTGATTCACAAGAGGACCAATGATCCAGAGAACTACTCTTACATGACCTGTCTGCCCAAACAGTGCACCTGGATATCCCTCCAGACACTAATTCAAGTGCCCAGGGCACCTGGGTATGCAGATGGATTTCAATTCCTTACTTCCAGGAAACCAGGCTTACTAGGCTTCAAGGGGGAAACTCCATGATGGTCCTTAGAGGTTTTCGTCTGCATGAAAACCAAGTTAAAGCCAGAGCTCAGCCTGGCCGTTTTGGCTCAGCAGTTAGAGCATCGACCTGCGGTCCAGAGAGACCTGGGTTCGGTTCCCACTAAGGGCACGTACCTCAGTTGCAGTTTTTCCCGGCCCTGGTTGGGTCATATGGGAGGCAGCCACTCAATGTGTCCCTTTCACATCGATGTTTCTCTCTCTCTCTCTCTCTCTCTCTCTCTCTCTCTCTCTCTCTCTCTCTTTCTCTCTCTCCCTCTCTCTCCTCCCCCCTCTCCCTCTCTCTCTCTCCCTCCCACCTGCTCTATCTGAATAAAAAATGGAAAAATGTCCTCGGCTGAGGATAAAAAAAAAAAAAAAATAGTGGTGCCGGGCCAGTGGATTGAGCATCAACCCATGGATTGAGAGGTCCCAGTTCTATTCCCAGTCAAGGCACATGCCCAGGTGTGGGCTTGATCCCCAGTGAGGGGCATTCAAGAGGCATCCAATTGATGTTTCTCTCCCACATCGATGTTTCTATTTTTCCTTTCCTCTCTCCCTCTCTCTCTAAAAAAAAAAAACCAGTAAAAACATAACTTAAAAAAAAAAAACAGTGGCCTAGGTTAGATCCTGGTTCCTAGTTCCAGCATTTTCACTAATTTTGAGCTTGATCTTTGACTTGCAGAGGTAGAGATTTATCAATTAAAACGAAAACTACAGGGGTTCCGTTCAGCTACCAAGGTGCCTTCTGTGCTTGACTTTAGAATGCTGCATTAAGATAAAAACGGAAATTATAATTTATAACCCTTTAACACAGCAGTGATTTTCATCACAGACCAAGAGATAGACTGCAGCACCCCTATAAGTGTGTTTTACATAAGTGTGCTGCTGGGCGTAATTTTAAGTTTGGACATTAGTCTAGTAAGTGCTTTAAAATGGTGTGTTATGGAGCTTTTCACTAGAGCCTAATGTGTACCTGTCCCTCTTAGGGAGGAGAAACGGAAGAAACATGAGCAAGAACGAAAGGAGAAGAAAGCAAAGGTCTTGGGAACTCGAAGGGGCCTCATTATGGCTGCAGATTAATAGTTTAACATCGGGTAAAAATATTACTTTACTCTGAACCTTTCTTTGTAAATATTTTTATGCTGTCCTTCCCACTTCAGTTAAAAGACCTTTTTCTGTTCTTTGTTCATACTGTGTAGTGTCAGTGGGTTTTTCACATACTACAATCTCTAAAAAGATGTTACTATCTTAAAACTCACAAATTCTTCAAAATGGATTTAACCTAAGTCCCTGTCCAGCTCAGTTTTCTGATGAGACCCATCATAGGTTCTTTTTTTTCCCCCATCCTATAGATTCTTGACCTAGATTTTTAACGTCAACTTCCCCCTGCTGGCTCTAATATTAAGAATTGCAATCCTCTTCTAGGCCTTCAAGAGCATATGCCACAAGCTTTCACAGAAATTGAACAGTAATAACTTATGAATAGGGTATGCTGGAAAACCCCCTCTTCATTCTCCAGAGAATCTAGTCATTGTAATGAAACTATGGGCTGTATGGGTTGGTTATGGCATCCATATTTTATCCATGTGAAGTGGTATTTTTCAGATTGATGCACCTTCAGATCACTTCATGTAATTGCTCTCTCAACATAGGCTTAAAAAAAAAACAAAAAACAAACTCGATAGCTCATTCTAACCTCGCTTATTTAACAACATACAGAACCATATTGAAATTTGAGGACTGCGTTTTGGCTCAGCAGTTCGAGCGTCAGCCTGCGGACTAGAGAGTCCTGGGTTCGGTTCCCGTAGGGGCATATACAAAAAAGGGAAGAAAAAATAAAAGAAAAAAATTTGAGGATTGCTGCTTTGAGGATTACTATGCTGTCAAACTTATATTTTATTCAGTTTATGGAAAGGCTAGAGTTGCTTAGTATCATACCCATGTTTGCTGTACCTAAGTGGAGCTTCTGAGTTTTGTACAACTTCAGATTTTCATAAATAAATTTTTTTCTCACGGTCGTAGATTCATTCTTTGTAAATATAATTGGCTTCCAGTACTTAGTTGACCAGCTAAGATTAGTAAGCTTGCTTGTACTCCTCATGCATCCTTTCCTGACCACCCACTCCCACCCCAAGAAGAAATACCCATGTCCTTCTTTTGTGTTTTCACATATACAAACCCACAGAACATGACATACATCTGGGTGCTTAATAACTTAGATTTTGCTATCATGAGGCAGAGATCAGATCAATCAAGAAACATTGGGGTAACATTGCTACTAAGAAAGTAAAATTATACAACCACCTGGAAAACAGTTTAGTAGTGTCTTTAAAAAGTTAAATGTATGTCTACCATATGACCCAGCAATTCTACACCTAAGTATAGACCCAAGAGAAATGAAAAAATATGTCCACATAGAAATTTGTACGAAAATGTTTATAGTTGTATTATTCATAAATCCAAAAAGTAGAGAAAAATTGAGCTGTCCATCAAGGGATAAATGGATTAAAATGATTATGGCCTGGTCGGTGTGGCTCAGTGGTTGAGCATCGACCCATGCACCAAGAGGTCACCAGTTCAATTCTGGGTCAGGGTACATGCCCAGGTTGTGGGCCCGATCCCCAGTGGGGGGCATGCAGGAGGCAGCAAATCAATGTTCTCGCTCATCGATGTTTCTACCGTTCTTCCTCTTCCCCTGCTCTCTCTAAAAAAATCAAGAAAAAAATTTTTTAAAGATTATTATACACTAAAAAGGAATGAAATACTGATAACATGCTACAACATGTATGAACCTCAAAGATATGCTTAGTGAAAAGAAGCCAGACACAAAAGATCACACATTATGTGATTCTATTTATATGAAATATCCAAAGAATATAAACTTATTAAGAAAGAAGTTTAGTAGTTACCGGGGGCTGGGAATGGAGAGTGACTGCAAAGGGGAACTGAGGTTTCTTTTTCTTTTTTTAATCTTCACCTGAGGATATATTTCCATTTCTCTTCAGATAGAATGGGAAGGAGGGAGAGAGACACATCCACTGGTTGCCTCCTGCATGACCCTGACCATGGATGGGACTTAACTGCAACTGAGGTACGTGCCCTTGACCATAATCAAACCCAAGACTCTTGGGTCCATGGGCCGATGCTCTAACCGCTGAGCCAAATTGGCCAGGGCTGAGGATTCTTTTTAGACTTTTTCTAAAATTAGCTTGTGGTTAAGACTGTACAATTCTGGCCTGGCCGGTGTGGCTCAGTGGTTGAGCAGCGACCCATATACCAAGAAGTTGCCAGTTCAATTCCTGGTGGGGGCACATGCCAGGTTGTGGGCCCAATCCCCAGTGTGGGGCAAGCAGGAGGCACCCAATCGATGGTCTCTCTCATCAATGTTCCTATCTCTCCCTCTCCATTCACTCCTCTCTCTCTAAAATCAATAAAGAGAAAAAAAAAAATTTAAAAACGGATTAAGGATCTTGCATCTGTGGAGGGCCAGCTCTAAGTACATGTTACTGGACTACATGTTTGTGTCCCCCCAAAATTCATGTTGATACCCCAATTTCCAACATTATGATACTTGGCACTGGGGCCTTTGGGAGGCAATTGGTTCATCAGGGTGGAGCCCACATGATGGGACTCTTGCCTTTGTAAAGAAGGGAAAGAGACCATGTGAGCATACAGCAAGAACACAGGTGTCTATAAGCCAACAGCAGACATCACCAGACACCAGATATGCAGGTACCTTGATCTTGGACTTCTCAGCCCCCAGAACTACGAGAAATAAATGTATGTTGTTTAAGCCACCTGGTCTATGGTAATTTGATATAGCACCCTGAGCAGATTAAGACAGTAGGTATGGACTTCCAGTCAAGATGGCAGCGTAGATAAATGCGGTATCCTGTCCTCTCACAACCACACCAAAGTTACAAATAAACTACATAACAACCATCATTCAAACCGCCTGAAATCAAGCTGAATGGAAGTCCTACAACTATGGAATTAAAGAAGCAACCACATCGAGACTGGTAGGAGGGGCGGAGGCAGATGGTCTGGTCCCACACCCACGTGTGGTGGATAAAAATCAGGAGGATACCTTGGCTGGGAAGGTCCTTCCTGAGGACTGAGGGGTCCCCGTCCCACACCAGGCGCCCAGCTTAGGTTTCCAGTACCAGGAAGAGAAGTCCCCATAACTTCTGGCTGGAAAAACCAGCAGGAACTGAGGCTCAGGGAGTCTGAGGCGGCTGGAGCCCCAGGCAGCTCCTCTTAAAGGGCCCGCGCATGGACTTATCGGACTCACTCCCTATTAGCTTGGAGGGGAGGCAGCTCGAGGGGCACCAAAGACATACAGGGAAGAACTGAGCTGTTTGGCACTGGAGAGGGGGTTTTCTCCAGAACAGACGTGCTATCAGAGGCCTTTGTTCCTTTGGTGAGCCCTTCCCTGGGGCGGCAGACAGCTGCCATATCTGGGACTCCAGCAACCTGGCTCACTCACACTGGTAGCCCTGCCCTGGTGATTCCCTGAGGCCCTGTCCCACCCAACTTTCAGGCCCACCCAAGCTGTTGCCAGTTGCTTTACCATAGGATTGGCCTGTCTTGGATCCTGCTTCAGGTTTTCCTAAATTCTTTCAAACAAGCAGCATCTGGTCTCAACTAGCCTCATACCTCTCATTAAGTAATACACAGAAACAATCACAGGGAGGCAGCCAAAATGAGAAGACAAAGAAACGGAACAAATGAAAGAACAGAACAAAACCCCAGGAAAAGAACTAAGTGAAATGGAGATAAGCAACCTAACAGATGCTGAGTTCAAAATACTGCTTATAAGGATGCTCAATGAACTTAGTGAGAACCTCAGCGAACTTAGTGAGGGCCTCAAGAGCATAAAAATGGATCAGTCAGAAATGGAGGCACTAACTGAAATAAAGAATAATTTACAGAGATTCAATAGTAGAGTAAGTAAAGCCAAGAAGCAAACCATCTATTTGGAATATAAGGAAGCAAAAAACACCCAATCAGAACAGCAAAAAGAAAAAAGACTCCAAAAAAATGAGGATAGTGTAAGGAGCCTCTGGGACAACTTCAAGCGTGCCAACATTCACATCTTGGGGGTGCCAGAAGGAGAAGAGAGAGAACAAGAAATCGAAAACCTATTTGAAACAATAATGGCAGAAAACTTCCCTAACTTGGTGAAGGAAACAGACACAAGTCCAAGAAGCAGAGAGTCCCAAACAAGATGAACCCCAAGAGGCCCACATCAAGACACATCATAATTAAAATGCAAAAGGTTCAAGACAGAGAATCTTAAAAGCAGCAAGAGAAAAGCAGTTAGTTACCTATAAGGGAGTTCCCATAAGACTGTCAGCTGATTTCTCAATAGAAACTTTGCAGGCCAGAAGAGAATGGCAAGAAATATTCAGAGTGATGAAAAGCAAGAACCTACAACCAAGATTACTCTATCCTGCAAAGCTGTCATTTAGAATTGATGGCCATATAAAGATTTTCCCAGACAAGAAAAAGTTAAAGGAGTTCATCACCACCAAACCATTATTATATGAAATGTTGAAGGGTCTTTTTGAAGAAATAGATAAAATATATGAACAAACAAAATGGCAATGAATACATATCTATTGACAATGGAATCTACAAACAAAATGAACAGGCAGAACAGAAACATTCTCATAGATATAGAGAAAATTTTGTTGGTTGCCAGATGGGAGGGGGATTCGGGGAATGGGTGAAAAAGATGAAGGGATTAAGAAGTACAAATTGGTTGCTAGACTGACAAACCTTAAGGGGAAGGGGATTGAAGGATGGGAGGAGATAAGCCAAAGAACTTGTATGCATAACCAATGTACACAGACAACAGTGTGGAAAAAGGCAGGAGGGGTTCAGGAGTGGGGAGGAGGGGGTCAATGGAGGAAAATGAGGAACATCTGTAATACATTCAACAATAAAGATAAAAAAAAAAAAAAGGCCCTGGCCAGTTTGGCTCAGCGGTTAGAGCATCGACCTGCGGTCCAGAGACCTGGGTTTGGTTCCCGCTAAAGGCACGTACCTTGGTTGCAGTTTGTCCCCGGCCCTGGTTGGGTTGTGTGGGTGGCAGCCACTCGATGTTTCCCTTTCATGTCGATGTTTCTCCCCCTCCTACTCTATCTGAACAAAAACTGAAAAAATGTCCTCGGGTGAGGATAAAAAAAAAAAAAAAGACAAAGACTCCACTGGAAACATAGGCTAAGGACACAGACAACTCACAGAAATAGACTGCAAGTGGCCAAAACATTACAGAAAGACGTTCAACCTCACAAAGAAGTCAGGGGCACCCACATTTAGAACCAGACGATACTATTTTTCTCTCATCCAATTGGCAAACATTTTAAGAACTAATAAAATGTGGGGAGGTGTTGGTGAGCCACAAATTGTTACAACCTTTGGGAAAATAATCTGGACTATTTATAAAAATTTAAAGCAGCAATTCCACTTCTAGGGATCCGTCAGAGGGAAATAAAAGCTTGAGAACACTGAGATAGGTGTACAGGAGAGACATGGTGACGTACTCTTTGTAACAGCAAAGAGCAAAAAAATGGGGAAGGAAGCTACCAATCCATCAGTGGGAAAAGGGAGAAGGCAGATCTACATACCTAGCATAGACCATTATTAACTACGAAAAAGAATAAAATGTTGCATATGGGGGGGAAAAAAAAAGACAGTAGGTATGTCTTTTCTCAGTGACTTCTATAGCATCTTTATCTTAATATTCTTCAGCAGTATCCCTTCCTCAAAGATGGGTTAGGAAACAAGGAACCTATAAGGAATAAAGTAGAATGCCATTAACAGTCATCTCAGACTCCTTGTGCTTTGGAAAACATGCAGGAATTGTTTCTAATTGGAATCATTCTAACCAAAGAGTTATTTAAATAGAATCTCTGGCCCTGGCCGGTTTGGCTCAGCTGTTAGAGCGTCGGCCTGCGGTAGAGAGAGACCCGGGTTCGCCCTGGCCGGTTTGGCTCAGCAGTTGGAGCGTCGGCCTGCGGTACAGAGAGACCCGGGTTCGGTTCCCGCTAAGGGCACGTACCTCGGTTACAGTTTGTCCCCGGCCCTGGTTGGTCGTGCGGGTGGCAACCACTTGATGTGTCCCTTCACATCGATGTTTCTCTCTCTCTCTCTGTTCCTCTCTCTCCCTCCCGCTCTGTCTGAACAAAAAATGCAAAAATGTCCTCGGGTGAGGATAAAATAAATAAATAAATAAATAAATAAATAAATAAATAAAAAATAAAAATAAATAGAATCTCTGCATCAGTATAGTACTTACATTCTCTAAATTAAGGTACAGCTTAGAACCTGGTTACCCTTTATATGGTCCTTCTTAGGAGCTACATGTAGCTTTGTCTTGGAGAATATATACCAGCCACATGTAGCTTTGTCTTGGAGAATATATACCAGCCACATGTAGCTTTGTCTTGGAGAATATATACCAGCCACTTGTTGGATGCCATTAGAGAAATACTTTATTTTGTCTATGTATCCTCATGGATGCTATTACCCTTAGTTTAGTAATACAAAATTACCACATTATCTCTATTTAAAAAGTCTTGGGTTAAGCACTGGAGAATTTTCATAGGCAAATTCTTCTGTGTGGGCTGGATCCGTAAACACTCCAATAAAATCTATTTCCAGGAAGAATGGACCATCCACTTTATCAGCCAGGGTGAATCCAATAGAAGAGATCTAAATTTAAAATAAAGAAATAGATCAAAATTGCATACTGATGTTCCTGGAGTTTTAAAATTCCTATCAGCCTTTAGCAAGTATACCATAGTTCTCATATGCTGTTGCAAATTATAAGAGGAAATACAGGGCTACTTTTCCTTCCACATTCTACTTCCTTTCCTCTTCCTTTAAGCAGTGCCATTTAAGACTAGAGGACAACATGGATGTCTAATAGAGGTTCTTCCTGAACTCAATACTGTTCTCTTATTTTAAAGCTGAAATAAAATTGGGCATGCTGAAAAGAAGACCATAATGAAATTCTCCAGGATGGGATTTGGCTCAAAGGATAAGCTTATGTCGACATCTGTCTGGGTATTACAGGGGTAGCCTTGAGTAGGAATTTCCATCTTTCAGTTGCCAGCTGTCAAAAATGGACTGAACCCATTCTCACAGGAGCTCTGGTTCACTAAAGAGGATATAGTTCTGAATGAAAGAGGAAAATGTTACCTTGTCAAGCAGAAGTTGGTACTGGGCATCCCGGATTCTTCCTTGATTAGAGAAGAAAAATTTGGAGAAGGGAATCTGTAAAAAAAAAAAACCCATTTACTTAATAGCTGAAATTTAAGTAACTGAAGCATTTGTATGTGATTGAAATGATAAAAGAATAACAGCTTATATGCCCTGGCCGGTTTGGCTCAGTGGTTGGAGTGTCAGCTTGTGGACCAGAGTCCCGGGTTCAGTTCCCACGAGGGGCACGTACCAAAAAAAAATAATAATAACAGTTTAAATTTAATTCTAAAATTATTTAATATATGCAGTTATAACAAGTGGCTAGTCATCTGGAACACAGATATGTAACTAAGAAAAAGATTCAACAGCCCAGCTGGTGTGGCTCACTGGTTGAGCATTGACCCATGCACCAAGAAATCAACAGCTCGATTCCTGGTCAGGGCACATGCCCAGGTTGTGGGCCAAATCCCTAGTGGGGGGCATGCGGAAACGGCCAGTTGATGTTCTCTCTCTCTTCCTTGCTCTTTATAAAAACAAATAAAGAAAAAAAATTTTTCTTTAAAGACTGAATGTTTTGTTTGTTTTTTATCCTCAACCGAGGACATTTTTGCATTTATCTTCGGATAGAGCAGGAGGGAAAGGAGGAGGAAGGGAGAGAGAGAAATAACAACGTGAGAAAGACACATTGAGGGGTTGCCACCCACAGGACCCCAACCGGGGCCGGGGAAAAACCGCAACCAAGTTACATGTCCGTAGCCAGAACCGAGCCCAAGACTCTGGTCCGCCAGCCGATGCTCTAACTGCTGAGCCAAACCGGCCAGGGCTAAAAAGTGAATGTTTAAGAAAAAAAAGATTAAACAGCCAACTCTTTGAGAGGGCAGCTGGTGACTGTGGTAGGCAGGATTCTAAGATGGCCCTCAAGACTTCCAACTTCTAGCATACACATCTTTGAGATAAGCAAACACATCTCAGTGTTGCTATGAAAGAACTGGTCATAAATCAGTTGACTTTTATATAAGGAAGATGATTCTCTGTAGGCCTGACTTAATCACTTGAACCCATAAAAGGGACTGACTGTTGAGATTAGGAGCATGAAGGAATTCAGTGGGGTGGGGAAGTCTCCACTGCTAGCTTTGAAGATGGAGGCAAGGAGTGCAGGCGGCTCTCAGAGCTGAGTGGCTCCTAGCTGACAGCCAGTAAAGAAACAGGACAGCAGCCCTGGCTGGTTTGGCTCAGCGGTTAGAGCATCCACCTGCGGTCCCGCTAAGGGCATGTACCTCAGTTGCAGTTTGTCCCCGGCCCTGGTTGGTCGTGTGGGTGGCAGCCACTCGATGTGTCCCTTTCACGTCGATGTTTCTCCCTCTCTCTCTTCCTCCCTCTCTCCCTCCCACTCTAGCTAAACAAAAAATGGAAAAATGTCCTTGGGTGAGGATAAAAAATTCACAGGAATTGAATTTAGCTAATAACCAGAATGAACTTGGAAGATTCTTCCCCAGAACCTTTAAAAAAAAAATACAGCCCTGGCCGGTTTGGCTCAGCGGTTAGAGCGTCGGCCTGCGGTCCGCAGAGACCCGGGTTCGGTTCCCGCTAAGGGCACGTGCTTCGGTTGCGGTTTGTCCCCGGCCCTGGTTGGTCGTGCGGGTGGCAGCCACTCGATGTGTCCCTTCACATCGATGTTTCTCTCTCTCTCTCCCTTCCTCTCTCTCCCTCCCGCTCTATCTGTACAAAAAATGGAAAAATGTCCTCGGGTGAGGATAAAAAAAAAAAAAAAAAAAAAAAAAAATACAGCCCAGCTAACACCTTGATTACAGCCTTATGGGGCCTTGAGCATTAAATCCATATTTACTGTGTCCCAACCTATGACCTACATAACTATGAGCTAATAAATGTGTTTTTGAAGCTGCTAAGTATGGTAAGTTTTTTATGCAGTAATAGAAAATTAACAGTACTATCTAACAAAATCTGAAATGCCACAACTTTGACCTACCAATTTCACATTTAGGAATTCATTTCAGATAAACTGTGATAACTACATAAAGATACAGCTTTTTCTAATAGCAAATGAAAAGAAGTCCTTCACAATGTATTATTAGTCAAAATGTAAGATATAGCCCTGGCCGGTTTTGCTCAGCCGTTAGAGCGTTGGCCAGCGGACCGGAGGGTCCCGGGTTCCCGCTAAGGGAACGTACCTCGGTTGCAGTTTCTCCCTGGCCCTGGTTGGGGTTGTGTGGGTGACAACCAGTCGATATGTCTCTCTCACATCAGGTTTCTCTCTCTCTCTTCCTCCTTCTCTCCCTCCCACTCTATCTGAAGATAAATGCAAAAAAAAAGTCCTCGGGTGAGAATTTAAAAAAAAGTAAGATATAGACAAAGCTACAGTTTAAAAAAAAAACAATTTTTAAAACACCTCAAAAACTTTGGTTAAAATATTACCATAGCAATTGGTAATAACCCAACTATCAATACAGGACTTATTCAATCAATTATAGGACAGGATAGTGACATAACAGAAAATACAAAAACAAACGAACACCAAAGAATGAAGAATAACTCCATGAAGCTCTCCAGGAACTAAATTGTACAAATATTAACCAAGCACAGAATATGCATCAAGTATGCAATTATTATTTTTTATTTAAAAAGGGAGAAAATAGCCCTGGCCAGTTTGGCTCAGTGTTAGAGCATCAGCTGTTAGACTGGAAGGCCTCAGGTTCAATTCCAGTCAAGGGCATGTATGAATTGCAGGTCAGGATAGTGAGGGAAGCAACCAATTAATGTGTCTCTCTCACATCGATGTTTCTCTCCCTCTCTCCCTTCCTCCCTCCCTTCTACTCTTCCTAAAAATCAATGGAAAAATATCCTCACGAAGATTAACAAAAAAATAGAATAAATAAAAAGGGAGAAAATGAAATATATATTTGCTTATATTTGCATAAAGAAACTGCAAAGCTACACAAGAAACTAATAAAAGTGGTTACTTAGAGCCCAGCTGGTGTGGCTCAGTGGATTGAGCATTGTCCCATGGACTGAGAGATCCCAGTTCTTTTTATTCCCAGTCAGGGCGCATGCCCAGGTTGCAGGCTCAATCCCCAGTAGGGGGCGTGCAAGAGGCAACCAATCAATGTTTCTCTCTCCCTAAAAAATCAACAAAAACGTAAATTTTTTTCAAAAAAAGTGGCTACTTAGAAGGGGCAGAAAAAGGGTAAACAGGGACATGAATGGGAGAGAGATTTCTCAGTGTATATCTATTTTGATTTTTGAACCAAAAAAACAAAAATGAATTTAAAAAATGTACTGTTCAGATTATTTATCACCAAAAAACTTACTGACATTAAAACAAACTCAATTCAAAGCCAATGTAATAACCCACCATTGCACAAGATCATATTGCTCCTACAGCAAATTAAATGTGGTCACATCCTCTCTATTCACCTACTCCCTTCATTTCTGTCAAACAAACCTGGAAGCCCTCCCCCACTCCCACCAATGTCTCATTTTGCATCTTCTTTTGGCACTTCATCTACCTCACTATCCAAAATATTTCAGAAATGCAATTAACCCTACCTTCTTGCCATTCAAGAAGAATGTGTCACCTACCTCACTCATTCCTTAAAACCAATCTTTTTTCTTTTTTTTAATTTATCAATTCTTTTGAGAGAGAGGGAGAAAGAAAAACATCAATTTGTTGCTTTATTTATTTATGCACTCATTGGTCGATTCTTGTATGTACCCTCACTGGGACTGAACCCCCAACCTTGGTGTATCAGGATGATGTTCTAACCAACTAAGAGCTACTCAGCTTCAAACTAATCCCTTTTGTCTTTTGGACACATAATTCTCTAAGATCACTGTCCACACCAAGGGAACTAGATTATTTTAGCCTAGAAAAAATTGAAGCTAGCCTCGGCTGAGCAGTTACAGTGTCGGCCTGCTGACCAGAGAGTCCCCGGTTTAGTTCCCGCTAAGGGCATGTACCTCAGTTGCAGTTTGTCCCCAGCCCGGTTGGGGTTGTGTGGGTGGCGACCACTCGATGTCTCTCACTCATGTTGATGTTTCTCTCTCTCTCTTACCCCTTCTTTCCCTCCCGCTCTATCTGAAGATAAATGCAAAAATGTCTTCGAGTGAGGATAAAAAAAAGAAAAAAATTGAAGCTAGGAGGGAACATTAAGTCTGTCAAGTTTGCATAAAAAAGAAAAGGATAAATAGTTTTCTCTCTACAAGTCACAGAAAACTAATATACATAATTTTCCTCTGTGTTTTCTCTCTGTAATCAGAGTAAATATTTGAGTATCTCACTTCTATTTACTAAAGAATGAATCATGAAGAAGTGAACAGCAATTAATAACATTTAATTTTTTTAAATCCCTAACACTTCCTTAATAACTTTTTTTTATCCTCAGCTGAGGACATATTTACTAAAGAATTAATCATGAGGCAGTGAACAACAATTAATAACATTTAATTTTTTTAAATCCCTAACACTTCCTTAATTTTTTTTTTTTATCCTCAGCTGAGGACATTTTTGCATTCATCTTCAGATAGAGCAAGTGGGAGAGAGGGAGTAAGAGAGAGAAACATCAACATGAGAGAGAGACATTGACTAGCTGCCACCCCATGCAATCCCAACCAGGGCCAGGGACAAACTGCAACCGATGTATGTGCCCTTAGCGGAAACCAAACCCGGGTCTCTCTGGAACACGGGCTGATGCTCCAACCGCTGAGCCAAGCCGGCCAGGGTGCTTCCTTGATAATTAAAAAATTTTTTTTCTTTATTGATTTTAGAGAGAGAGAGAAAGGGAGAAGGAGAGACAGAAACCTCGATGAGGGAGAACATCAACTGGCTGCTTCCTGAATGCCCCCCACTGGGGATTGAGCCCACAACCTGGGCATGTGCCCTGACCGGGAATAAAATCAGTGACCTCTTGGTGCATGGATCGACACTCAGCCACTGAGCCACACTGGCTGGGCCTTCCTTAATAATTTTAAAAGAGCTATTGCAAACAATTGCTACTTCTAGCCAAAGATTAGGGCCACATGTATTTTTGGGGAGAGAAAAAAACTGTTAATGATTACATGGTAATGATAATGGAGAATAATTTGGCAATGTGCATCATAGAACTTAAAAACACACATATCACTTATTCTAGGAATTTTATTTCCAGGAATATATCCTAAGAAAATAATTAAGGATGTTTACCTCAGAGTTTGGTATAATACTGAAAAACTCTGAAAACAAACTGAATTAAGACAATAAAAGATTAAATCATGGTCTATTATATAATAAAATATGCATTTACTAAAAATTATATAGCAAGCCCTGGCTGGTTTGGCTTAGCAGTTAGAGCATTAGTCCATGCACCAAAGGGTTGCAGGTTTGATTTCTGGCCAAGGGCACATACCTGGGTTGCAGGTTCAATCCCTGGTCCTGGTCAAGACAATGTTTCTCTTTCTCTCTCTCTCCTCCCTCCCTTCCACTCTCTCTTAAAAAAAAAAAAAAAAAAAGATAATCAATGGAAAAAGTATCCGCAGTGAGGATTAACAAAAAAGAAAAAAAATTACAATGTAACCATGATCACCAAAGACCTATTTTCATATACTGTAAAGATGTATGCTATTACCTTGACCTCCTGCCAGTAGGGCCCCCCACGGGTGAACATGAAGTAACTGTACATCTGATTCTTCCTCTGGATTATATCTGTGTCCTCCCTGATATTCACCATCCAAGGCCGACCATCTCCTCGGACACGGAGATACAGAGTGTTGAACTGGGACCAATCATAAGACCTCTTTCTCTCAAAAGGGCCCTAAAGTACAGAAAGGAAAGTTAATTTCACCTTATTTCCCACTATTAGCAAAATGTGAGTCATCACCTTTTGTAGCAACAAAAGAATCCACTAGCCATTTTTCTTTTCCAGCTCTATCACCATAAGGAGGTAGACAAATCTACTTTTATTTTACTACAAAATACTGACATAGTTGTTTCTGAGGTAAAATTCAAGACATGACTGGAATTACTGTTATACACTTTCTTTCCCTGGTCCTATGGAGCAATGGCTTCTGACGGGGCCATTTAATGACAACTGCCTTCCTATAAATTAGAAAACTATGAAAGAGCTCAAGTTTGTTTTTGTTTTTTTAATGTTCTTATTGATTTTTTAGAGAGGGGAAAGAAGAGATAGAAACACCAATATAGGAGAGAAACATCAATCCGCTGCCTCCCGCAAGCCCCCCCAACCCCCACCATGGAGCCTGCAACCCAGGCATGTGCCCTGACTGGGAATGGAACTGAGACCTCTCAGACCTCTCAGACCTCTCAGTCCATGGGATGATGCTTGGTTCACAAGCTTTTTTGTTTTAAATACATTCCCTTTTACCGTGTTTTATATTTTTATTTTTTTGGTACATGCCCTTAGCGGGAACTGAACCCGGGACTCTCTGGTCCGCAGGCTGACTCTCCAAACTGGCCAGGGCTCAAGTTTTATTTATTTAAATATTTATTTTATTTTATTTTATTTTAGTATTTATTTTTTATCCTCAGCTGAGGACATTTTTGCATTTATCTTCGGATAGAATGGGAGGGAGAGAAGGAGGAAGAGAGAGAGTGAAACGTCGACGTGTGAGAGGCACATCGAATGGTTGCCACCCACACGTCCCCAACTGAGGCCCGGGACAAACCACAACCAAGGTACGTGCCCTTAGCAGGAACTGAACTCAGGTCTCTCCGGTCCACGGGCCGACGCTCTAACTGCTGAGCCAAACCGGCCAGAGCAAAATTTGTAGGTTTTAGAGAAGGAAGGAGGGAGGGAGAGAAAGAAAGAGGGAAACATTAATTTTTTTCACTCCACTTACCTATGCATGGACTCCTGTTATGTGCCATGACCGCGGATCAAACCTAAAACTCTGGAGTATAGGGATGACAGTCTAAACAACTAAGCTCTCTGCCCAGGGAATTGCATGTACCTTTTATATGATGTAATAAGAAGGATAATGTTGCCAGGCCAGTGTGGCTCAGTGGTTGAGCGTCGACCCATGCACCAAAAGGTTGCTGGTTTGATTCCTAGTCAGGGCACATGCCCATGTTAAAGGCTGATCCCCAGTGGGGGCATGCAGGAGGCAACCAATCGATGTTCTCTCTCGTCAATGTTTCTATCTCTCCCTCTCTCTAAAATCAGTAAAGAAAAATATTAAAAAGAGAAAAAGAGGCTACTGTTGTGTGGTTGGTGTGGCTCAGTGGATTGAGCGTCGTCCCATGGACTGAGAAGTCCCTGTTTGATCTCTGGTCAGGGCACATGACCGGGTTGCAGGCTCAATACCCAGCAGGGGGCGTGCAGGAGGCAGCTATTCAATGTATCTCTCTCACATTGATGTTTCTCTCTCTCCCCCTCTCTCTAAAAAAAAATCAATAAAAACATATCTAAGCCCTGGCCAGTTTGGCTCGGCAGTTGAGCGTTGGCCTGCGGACCAGAGAGTCCCGGGTTTGGTTCCTGCTAGGGGCACATACCACCAAAAAACAAAACAAAACACATATTTAAAATAATAAGAGCCCTGGCCGGTTTGGCTCAGTGGTTGGAGCATCGGCCCGCGGACCAGAGAGTCCCGGGTTCGGTTCCCGCTAAGGGCACGTACCTCGGTTGCAGTTTGTCCCCGGCCCTGGTTGGGTCATGTGGGTGGCGACCACTCGATGTGTCCCTTTCACATCTATGTTTCTTTCTCTTTCTCTCTCTCTCTCTCTCTCTCTCTCTCTCTCCCCCTCCCTCCCTCCCTCCCTCCCTCCCTCCCTCCCACTCTATCTGAACAAAATATCGAAAAAAATATCCTCAGGTGAGGATGAAAAAAAAAAAAAAGAAAGAAGAAGCCACAGGCTAATCCTACATCCACTCTAAGGAAGCCCTAGCCACTAGAGTCTGTGGTCTACATTAGAGGAAATGCAAATCTCCCCAGATCATCGCTCAATTGTCTAACCTCTCAGGGCTGCTCAAACATAAGAATGCACCACTCTAGCCCAAAGTGATGCCCAGAAACAAGAAGCCCCTCCTCAGGAACCACTTCCCCCTTGTGCTCAGCTTTACACTTGTGTCCAGTATTTAACCCCATACAAGATGAGATGACAGGTGTTTTCATTTACAGAAACAAAAGCTCTTGGCTACAGCTCATACTATAATGAAGTTCACCCCAGTTCACTAGAAAACTCAGGTTCCTGGGTCTAACCTACCCTTGGAATCCTGGATATCATTGCACAGTACCCACTGCGACCACTTTCCCCATCCTGAGGTGCCACAGAGCTCAGAGTTCCATACAGCAGTGCACTTTGATTATTCTTGCCCATTTTCAGGAATACTTCACTTCTGCCTCCAATTGTCTTATCCGAAGTCACTATCCACTTATCCAAATCTTCTTTTCTACGGAACTGCCAGACAACTTTAGCTTGTTCCAGCAAGACCTCTTGCAGAGGGCGGCCTTCAGGCCCTATCCAATGATTCACAATATCATCCTTCAAACGCCTAAAATGGTCCTTTATTTCATCTTTGATTGCTTTATCAAAACTAACTTCAGGCTTTTCCTCAGGAGAAGTTATATCCAAAGCAACTTCTCTCTGGTGATGTCCTTGCAAACCCCCTTCACTGTTCCTCTGAGAGGAAGCTTTGCCAGGAGTAGCCAAGGGTTTCTGAAGACTACTGGAACAATAATCTGCAAAGCGAGTACTCAACGAGGCAACACTTGGCTCCAGGCATTTTCTGAGAATATAAGTCCCATTCAGCAATTTGTGAATCAAAGCCATGGTAAGAAAAAGTCAAAATGTAAATTTCTCCCTGGGCTACCAGAGAAAGAAGCTTCAGCAAATAGCCCAATTCCACCTATAATAGAAGAGACATTGCAGAGTTAACAGTGTAGCAAAAAATACATCACAATTTCAAATTCAACAAAAATCATGTATTGTAACCCCCACCTTATCTCACCACTCAGCATATCTAGAAGGGCCTAACACACACAACTGATCATTTATCTTCTCTGAACACATTGCGTACTGCATAGAAATCTCTAAGACTTACACCAGGAACCGCCATTTTTGGGCAAACTGCACGTTAGGTTCTGAGCTGCATTCCTTTGAACCAGCAGATATCCATTCCCTAGCTACTTCAAGAATATGGAACGCTGTTTTTTTTTTTTACTTCAACCCTCAGGGCAAAGAGTAACAAATACAATAATCCTATATTACCCTGAGTTTCAAAAACTGAAATAGCTAATGCAAGTGCAAACCCCAGTTAACTCATGCGCAGTCCACAACGTTTGGGCAGGAAAACACGAGTTAACTCATGAGCGGTCAAAAATGTGTTAAAACCCTTCAGAAGCTCCCTCATGGTCTTAAGAATAAAGCCCAACGGTTTCTATAGGCTCTACAAGACTCCTCCAGATCCAGTCTCTGCTCATCTCTCCAACCTCACCTCTAGTCTGTGCTCCAATCAGAGAACACTTGTGGTTCAATAAGCACCATTTAGTACTCATTCTCTGAACTTCAGGCCTTGGCCCACTGCTGCTCCTAGGCCAGGAATGCCCTCTACTGACTATGCCTGGCTAATTTATCCTTTGGAACTCAGCTTAGATACCCTCCAAGAACCCTTCCTTGACTACTAAATTCCACCAAGACCCACATGCCTCTGGAGTGTTCTCACTGACCCTGGGCTTATACTTTCCCTGCTACGTTTTACTAATCAGTTCACTTGTCAGTCTTCCCTACCAAGAGATTATCTTCATTATGGTACGTCCATCTCCCAGGATGGAGTCAGGCATGCAGAAAGAAGGCTTCTAATATTTGTTGAACAAATAATAGCTCCACATTTCTCCACCTCCACCACCAGCCTTGTGGTTCAATGCCTTATTGCTTCTTATGAGAACTATTGGAATTTCCCTAAAGGGCTTCTCAAACTTTGGGGGTTTTTTTGTTGTTGTTTTTTACTCTCACCCGAGGACATTTTTGCATTTATCTTCAGATGGAGTGGGAGGGAGAGAGGGAGAAAGAGAGAGAAACATTGACATGAGAAAGACACATTGTGTGGCCGCCACCCACACAACCCCAACCAGGGCCAGGGACAAACTGCAACCGAGGTACGTGCCCGTAGCGAGAACTGAACCCGGGACTTTCTGGTCCACGGGCCGATGCTCCAACCATTGAGCCAAAACAGCCAGGGCTCAAACTTTAAAGTACCTATGAATCATCTGGGAATTTTGTTAAAATACAAATTCTGAGCCCTGGCCAGTGTGTCTTAGTGGTTAGAAAACATTGGCCTTCGCACCAAAGGGTCATGGGTTCAGTTTCTGGTCAAGGGTTTCTGGTTTGCTTCCTGGGCATGTAGGAGGCAACCAATCAATGTGTCTCTCTCACATTGATGCCTCCCCCACCCTCCTTTCACTCTCACGCAATGGAAAAAAATATCCCTTGGGTGAGGATTAACTAAAAAAAAGATTCTGATTTAGTGGGTATAGAATGGTGCCTGAGATTCTGCATTTCTAACAAGCTCCCAGGTGATGCCTTTGTTATTGGCCCACAAAACACCCTTTAAGTAGCAACGTCCTAACATATCTCCCTGATTTTGATTTCCCTCCAATTCACCCTCTGCCTGACAACAAAAGGAATTTTTCTAAATATGATGGCACTCCTCTTATAATAATTCAGCAACTTCCCCCAGAAACCAAACTCCTAAAATGGTACGCAAGTTCCTCCAAAATGTGCCCAACTTCCTGGCCTAACTTCTCCTTACATCCATGGGCAATACCCTCAGCTCTATTAAGACCAATTGTGCCCTGGCCGGTTTGGCTCAGCGGTTAGAGCATTGGCCTGCGGTCCGGAGAGACCCGGGTTCGGTTCCCGCTAAGGGCATGTACCTCGGTTGCAGTTTGTCCCCGGCCCTGGTTGGTCGTGCGGGTGGCAGCCACTCGATGTGTCCCTTTCACATCGATGTTTCCCTCTCTCTCTCTTCCTCTCTCTCCCTCCTACTCTGTCTGTACAAAAAATGGAAAAATGTCCTCGGATGAGGATTAAAAAAAAAAGAAAGACCAATTGTAATCTTGTCTGAACACAGGAAAAAAAAAAAGAACATTGCTCAAAAGTGCCAACAACCATTCTACTGTCCTAGCTAATATGAGTGACTGCTGTATCTTTTTTTTATTTTTTTTATTGAATTTTAGAGAGAGATAGAAACATCAATGAGAGAGAACATCGACTGGTTGCCTCCTGCATGTGCCCCCCCCCCCCCCCCCCAGGGATCAGGCCCACAACCTGGGCATGTGCCCTGACTGGGAATCGAACCAGCAACTTCTTGGTGCATGGGTCGACTCCCAACCACTAAGCCACACCAGCCGGGCATGACTGCTGTATCTTGACCAGTCATGACATTAGCCTTATTCTAGATAGTAAGATTCTCTCCTAGATTAGATTTAAGATTCCCAATCATAGAATTACCTCCACCTCCTGACTACTTTCTCCAAAATCACCTAATACAAGTCTAAATCCAATATAGTCATACGCCAAATAACATTTCAGCCAACTAGGAACTGAGTATACAAAGGTGATCTCATAAGATAAGATTATAATGGAGTTGAAAAACTCCTACTGCCAACTGACATCATAGCCATCCTAATGTCATAGTGCAGCAATTACTCACGTTTGTGGTGATGCTGGTGTAAACAAACCTACTATGCTTCCAGTCTGTATAAAGTATAGCACATACAATTACATACAGTACCTAATACTTGACAATGATAATAAATGACTAAATTACTGGTTTATTTACTATACTATACTTTGTATCATTATTTAGAGTGTACTCTTTCTACTTGTAAAAAAAAAGTGTAAAACCATATGCTGTTACACCAGCAGCAAGCAGCCTCTCACATCTTGTGTTTACCATGCCTCTTGATTGCATCGTTTTCTCTTGTGCTTGATTTAATCTCCTGTTTTTTTGTACAGTAACATGCTGTACAGGCTTGTAGCACAGGAGCACTAGGTTATACCATATAGCCTAGGTGTGTAGTAGGTTCTACCATCTAGGTTTGTGTTAGTGTACTCCATGATATTCAAGCAACAATGAAATCACCTATTGGGCCCTGGCTGGTTTGGCTCAGAGGTTAAAGCATCGGCCCACAGACCAATGAGTCACAGATTCAATTCTGGTCAAGGGCATGTACTTTGGTTGTGGTTTGTCATTGGCCCTGACTGGGGTCTTCCGGAAGGCAACCAGTCAATCTGTCCCTCTCATGTCGATGTTTCTTTCTCTCTTCCTCTCTCTCCCTCATACTCTATCTGAACAAAAATGGAAAAATATCCTCAGGTGAGGATTAAAAAAAAAAAAATCACCTATCAATGTATTCCTTGCTGTTTTACTGAGATACCCCATGGTTTCCCATGCTGTATGTTCTCCCTCACTACAAGGCATAACAAACAGAACTGGTTCCACAACAGGCATGTTCCTGGTGACCTCTGACTGTGGAGGGCATTGACATAGCTCTTCCTCCATATTCTCATAACCTATGCATACCTCACAATCCAATCCCTACATAATATCATACTCTTACTTTTATCTGTCTACCTACTAGTCTGCCCTCCTTAATCTTAAGGACTATGGCTTGAACATAACCAATATTCAATGTTTCCTGAGTAAATGAAAACCATGCAAACAGTATATTTTCACATGGAAATCAGGAAAAATAAAAAGTGGATATTAAGTCCTGGAATTATAGGTAATATTTAAACTTCTCTCACTGGTAGTACTTAAATGATTTTATCTCTACATATACAAGAATTTGGGAAACAAATGATATGCCCATAAAATGGAATTTGCACAATCCTAAAAATGATTATCCTGAAACCCATATATAGGATATACACTAAGTGGCAAATAAGGAGAAATCAAAATTACATATATGCTAACATTACAATTATAATAATGTACAGAGGTGCTCTCTCTCCCAGGAGTACACCGGCCTCCTTTCCCTTCCCCCTCTTCTTCCCTCATAGGAATACATCTCCTCAACTTTAAGGGACTCCCCACCCAACATAACAGTTGCAACCAGGGGAGCAATGGGCAACAGCACCTCATCTGGGCTAACCCCCTGAACCTGTCCTCAAGGCCCCCTTTTCTCTGACTCTCCAGTGAGCTAATAGAAGCCCTGCCTTGGCTCACTTCTTTCCCTTATAACGTTTCTACAAAGCCAAAGTAGCCCCACCTAGTCTCTCTATTGTTGTTTCTACTATCGTAAGCCCCTCCTTGTTTCACTGTCCCCAGCTTTAATAAATGTACTCTCAAAATAAAAATTAAAAATGTACAGAAAAATATAGTTGGGCAGGGAATAAAAGTCTTAAAGTCGCATGTAGAATGATGGGATTATAAGTAATGTCCACCCTATTTTCCAAACCCTCATTAGTGTTGTCACTTCTCTAATAGCACAACTTTATTTATTTATTTATTTATTTATTTATTTATTTATTTATTTATTTATTTATTTTTGGTACGTGTCCCTAGCGAGAACCGAACCCCGGACTCTCTGGTCCGCAAACCGGCCAGGGCTAATAGTACAACCTTAATTATAAATATTTGTTTCATATTTTTACCGATAACGTCAAACCCATTAACGGGATGATCCCAGCCCGAAGTTGGTGACTTGACGGCGACATAACCCACGCAGCTAAATGGAGCAGTCTTTATAAAGATTGTATATCCAGGGCTTACCACGTGCCAGAAACTGTTCTAAGTGTACTTCCACTGACTCCACACAACAACAGAGATACTATTATTATTCCAATTACAAATATGAAGAAAACGGTGGTTCCAAAATAAAACTGCCCGATTCATACAGCCAGTAAGTGGCAAGACTAACTCTAGAGCCCCGGCGTTAAGCTCCCAGTCCGAGCCGGGGAACGGTCCCCTCAACCCTCACCTGCTAGGGCTCTGTCGCCCTCGCACGTCCCGGACACACGAACCGCCAGCCAAGGTCCACTTACCTCCCCCGCCGGCGCCCGCGAGTGGCGTCGGCCCGGGTCCCCAGCTTTTCCCGACCGGGCGCTCGCTTTCCCGGTGTAGGTCCAGCTGCTTTTACATCCCGGCGCCAAACCACCCGTTCTGACACTAGAGTTCCGGCCAGATGAGGAAGCCTGAGGGTAGTAACGAGGATCCCCAAGGCAGACAGTCGACTAGCTTTCCAAAAAGCCCGGCTTCCACTCTTCCTGATCTTTTCTGCCCTATGTGAGAAAAAGGGGAGAATTTAGATAAGCTCTTCGCCTCTTCCTGCATCCCGTTTTCAGGCTGCAAGCCATCCCGCATCTTTCAAACAGGACCCTGGTGTTGCTAACGTTCCTCCGCCCCGAGGCGCCAAGGTCCCCTCGCGCCCCATCGCCGGTCCGCCCCAGCCGCTGGAGAGCGTTGACCTAGGAGAACTGGTTCTGCTGGAATTGCCCCCCGCGGATTCTTTGGAGACCCAGCACGCATCTGGACAGCAAACCATCCTACCCGCCGTTTCCCGATTCCGCCCCGCGGGGTCGCACACTCCGCAGGGCTACTAGATCTGTGCACACTTCTGTTGAAGCACTTTGAACATTGTATCTTAATTGTTCCTTTACTTCTCACTTCCTCCAACACACTGTGAGGTTCTTGGGTCCAGACTCTGCTGTTCTTCCTGTCCCCGGCCCCTAGTATAGTGTTAGCAGGAAGTAAGGGCTCAGCTTGAATTGGAAAGACTTGTAACCCCTGGCAGTCAACACTATGCCCCTACAGGGTTTGGAAAAGACCTCACCAAATATAATTGCCTTTTCCAAGTTTCCTCCATCACTCTTTTTCATGCCACCACCTCTTCCTTCTTGAAATTCTGCTTTGACTTCTCTAGTCTCTACACATGCCATAATTCTCTAACCTCCTCCAACCTTCCCTAGCTGCCTCCTTCACTAACTCCTTTCTCTTCCGACAACCTTCAATGGGATTGTCTCCAAAACCCAGACTTTGCCTTCCTCTTTTCTAGTTTTAGGTATGAGTTATGTAAAGACAATGTGATAGCCTTGACCGGTTTGGGTCAGCGGTTGAGCATCGGCCTGCGGCCCAGAGAGTCCAGGGTTCAGTTCCTGCTAAGGGCACGTACATCGGTTGCAGTTTGTCCCAGCCCTGGTCCTGGTTGGGTGGTGTGGGTGGCAGCCACTAGATGTGTCCCTTTCACGTCTATGTTTCTCTCTCTCTCTCTCTCTCCCCCCCCCCCTTCTTCCTCCCTCCCTCCCTCCCACTCTATCTGAACAAAAAAATGGAAAAATGTCCTCCGGTGAGGATAAAAAATAAAAATAAAAAAAATAAAGACAATGTGATAATCTCTTTCCCTACACCCCAACAACATTTCCAACCTTCCCATAGCAGTCCCTGCAGTGGAATATACCACTAGCATCTCAAATTTGGTATGTCTAAACTGAATTACCCATATTAACTCCTCCTAGCTTCTCTATTTCTGTAAATGCCCACATTCTTCTAAGCTGGAAATCTTTGGCTATCCTTGGCTTCTCTCCTTAAACCTTCCTCTCACTGACCCTAAATCCTATTGAGCTCTCTTTGCTGTCTTTGATTTTTTGCTCCTTCTTTCCAAACCCACTCTATAATATCCTACTCCATCTATAATACTCATACTTTTAAAAAAATGTTTTTATTGACTTTTTTAGAGAGTAGGAAACAGCATTGTGAGAGAGAAACATCAATTGGCTGCTCCTGCATGCTTCCCACTGGGGATCAAGCCTACAACCCAGGCATGTGCCCTGACCGGGAATCAAACTGGGACCTCTCAGTCCACAGAACAATGCTCAATCCACTGAGCAACACCGGCCAGGCTATAATTCTCATACTTATCCTCAATTTTTCATCCAAGCTGGTATCTACCTAAACCACAATAATTCCTCCTCGCAATGGAGTTAGTATTTTCCCTGCTCAGCATTCCTCCCTCTTCTGCATTCCATAAGTTTGGTATCAGATGTTTACATAACTCCCCTCACTTCAATTGATTGGTCCAGTGGTAAGCACCTGGTCTGCACTGAGCCAACTAGATTATTCCCAGAAATTTCCTGAACTAAAACGGGAAAAGAGCCCTTTTATCATGGTGGCTCTTGTGGAGCTCCTGAGCCAACTGCTAATATTGGTTTACAGAATGATAAAATAAAGGTGCTAAGAGAGACAGGACAAGAAGGATAAAAGAAGCTTCAGTTAGCATTTATTTTGCCAGTTCTAGTTGTTCCTGAGGCCCAGCTGCATTAGTTGTCTTGCCATAGCTTGGCTATTGAGTCTTTCCTTGACTTCCAAGCATCAATAAACTACTTTTACCTAAATTAAACTGGTTTGGTTTCTATCACTTGCAACCAATTGGTCCTAATTAATACATTGACTACACCTATTCAGAACACACCTTAAATCCCATGTTCTCCATAAAAATTTCCCCCAATGCGTCTGTCTCATAATGATTGCTCTCCTTCTGATATTGTACAATATTTATTATTTATACTATAAACAATGACAATTATGTTCAAATGAAAACTAGATTATAATTTGACTAAATTGCTCATTCATTGTTTTATGTACAAGCCTTTTCAACAGGAGGGTAAAAACCTTGAAGGTAGTGATTTTGTTATATACTTTAAAATAACCCTTCTACAGTAACCTGCATGAATTTAGACACAGAGTGGGTACGGCTCCAAGAGGCCAACGGGCAAATTTCATGAAAACCTTTAGGAAGGACTACAGTGACATGGGCCAGAGGAAAAAAATTGGAATAGTTCAAGCAGGAGGCAATATAATTCAGCAATTTCATTTCTTAATGGGGTCCCTTCAGAGTTTAAAGATGATTAGGGTATGATCCAGGAAAAGGAAATAACCTCGTGGGAATTTTGGGTTGTGGTAGTATCACTACAGATCCAGGGTTAGTTCTCTGCTCTGATGATCCAGGAACTTGATTGTGTCTGTTTACTGAAAAGATTACTTCATGCAAGCACTTCACAGGAGGAGAAATGACAGACCAGAATGATGAGCATTTATTAATCTACAACAGATATCCAGGACAGTCCCTCTTGATGGGTAAGCCTACTTTGCAGTCCAGACAGACTAGCAAGGTGAGGAGAGTCACCTAATTAGAAAGAGCTGGCAGTGTTCAAGAGGACTTTCCATGAAACAAAATGAATTTTCAATCATTCTTTTGGGGATATTCTTTTTTTTAGAATATGTTTTCTTTATTGATTTTAGAGAGAGGAAAGGTGAGAGAAACATCGATGAGAGAGAACATTGATGAGAGAGAACATGATTGGCCACCTCCGGCATGTCCCCCACTGGGGATTGGGCCCACAACCTTGGCATGTTTACCCTGACCGGGAATCAAACCAGCAACCCCTTGGTGCAAGGGTCAAGGTTCAACCACTGAGCCACACCAGCAGGGCTCTTAAGTACTTTTTAACTACGGAGGACATTTGAGGGTATGTGTACATAGACAGTATCTGTTTCATGTGCTGAGATGATGAATAGAGCTATACCGAGAGAGGCCAGAGAGAAGGCTGACCTTACAACATTTTTCAAATCAGTTCCCACTTAAAAGGAAGGAACAATTAAATACAAGGAAACCCATGTTTCCTATTTAATACAAAATCAACAGGTACAGCTTAGTCAGAGAGCTCAGGTCTATGGTGGTAGACACCATCTTGTAGTCACACACAGCACTTTTTCAGATTCCCTTGGGCAGTGTTGGCCTGAGTCAAGGCAGTCTAACACTGCTGAAAGAGACTAATTTTCAGGCTAATACATGTTGCATGATCCTGCTTTTGGGTGTGTTTGCATGTGTTCCCCAAAAGGTCTGGAACAATACACACCAAACTAGTCTTAAGAGTTATTCCTGGGCAATGAGATTGAGAGGGAAAGGGAGTGAGGGCTTTACAATGAACATATATTAATTTTGTACTTTAAAAAACAAATTTAAAAAAGCTGGGAGTGCCCTGGCCAGGTAGCTCAGTTGGTTAGAGCATCGTCCTGATATACCAAGGTTATGGGTTTGATCCCCGGTCAGGGCACATACAAGAAGCAACCAATGAATGCATAAATAAGTGGAACAACAAACTGATGTTTCTCTCTTTCTCCCTCTCTCCCTCTCTTTCTCTCAAAATCAATAAATTAACAACAACAAAAAAAGAGCTGGGCTCTCCCTTTCACTCTCTAGAAATCAATGAAAAAAATAACCTTAGTGCCCTGGCCAGTTTGGCTTAGCGGTTAGAGCGTCGGCCTGCGGTCTGGAGAGACCCAGGTTCGGTTCCCGCTAAGGGCGCGTACCTCGATTGCAGTTTGTCCTCGATCCGGGTTGGTCATGCGGGTGGCAGCCACTCGATGTGTCCCTTTCACGTCGATGTTTCTCTCTCTCTCTGTTCCTCTCTCTCACCTCCACTCTACCTGAACAAAAAATGGAAAAATGTCCTCGGGTGAGGATAAAAAACAAACAAACAAACAAACAAACAAACAAAACAACCTAGAAAACATGTGTGGCATTTACTGGTGTCCAAAAAAGCATTTGTGCCAGGCCGGTGTGGCTCAGTGGATTGTGTCATCCCGTGCACTGAGAGGTCCCTGTTTGATTCCCGGTCAGGGCACATGCCCAGGTTGTGGGCCAAATCCCCAGTGGGAAGCATGCAGGGGGGAGCCAATCGATGTTCTCTCTCACCAATGTTTCTATCTCTCTCTCCCTCTCACTTCCCGCTCCAAAATCAATAAAGAAAAAAAAAAATTTTAATAAAAAAAGCATTTGTTGGATGAATAAAGGAAGTGCCTAGAGAAGACATCAAAAGAAACTTTGGCATTAAGCTCTCCCTGCCTTCAACACAGTCCCTCCTAATTTCATCTTTTCCTCCCCCCCTTTTTATTCCTCTTAAAAAATAAACAAAAATGAAACAGTATAGCAAAGGAGTTTGACCATGCCACCTTCTAGTAGTAAGAACCATAGAAGTACA